TTCCTTTATTATTATTAACATAGTATATTTATTATTACTGCACATGTTATTTATATCCCAAATATGTTGTAATTTTTTATACTAGGTATTTCTTATATCTGCGGTACACCGCGTACGGTACGGTCGAAGAGTAACTTAATGAAATATCGTTTTTCAATGCGAGAAGTTATTTCTGCGATAAATCTCGCATAATGTAGTAACATGTTTTCAATCTCGCGTGACTTCTCCAACGGGCCTAAAAACCGAGATAGTAAGTTGCAAAGTCCGAGGTAAAGTTACATGTCGGTTTGAGGAACTTTGTTCGTTGCGTCTCTCATCGCCTCGAGATGTGATAACCATTTAAGTCCCCGACGCGCATAATTTGCGGCTACACTCTAAGAGAAAAGCTGGTGTAGCTTCTTTCTCTTAATGTAGGATCCGCGCAGCGCGGAGACTCGGAGATAATCAGCAGGAATCGGTAGGAAATGAGACCCTCAGCAAAATATGAAGAGCATCGCTTCGGCCTTATGTTTTTGACAACGTGCCTAGGTTGTTCTATAACAGTCTGACGCGTTCCAAATCATTATGCTTCAACTATTCGCGAGGCATCGTCTCTCTAGGCGTCAGCCTAACCACGAGGACAGCGAGCAAAGTGCACCCGTCATTTCGTCATTTCGTCGGAAAGCTTCGCGGCCGTTCTGTTTTTGACCCAAACTGACGAACGCTTCGTTCGCTTTTCTTGCGACGTGAACCACGTCTCGTCCGTGCCGAATTTTCCTCCTCCCACGAAACCTTTGGTTTCTTCCTATTTTGAAGTGTCATAAAACAGCACAAGTTACAACCGGCGCTTACGTCTCGTAGCCGCCATCGAAACGACAGTAATTTATCGAAAGCGAAATGACGAGTTTCATATCGTCAGACCTCTCTGAAGACGCGTAAAACACGAAAAGGAAGGAGGAAGAAGAACTTTTCCCGCGATGGTCCTCATATTAGAGAGGGGGAAAGAGAGAGAAAGAGAGAGAGAGAGAGAGCGCATGTCGTTGGACAGAAAGTATATATATATGGCACAAAATCGTTCGCGTTGCACAGTCGCAGACGGTCGCGGAAAATCGAAGCGCGACACGACATGCTGCACACCGACGAAGCGCATTCAGTGCGGCCGAGACGACCTTAGAATCTACGATTTTCGTCCTGATGAAAATCGTGCGCGATCAGTATGCATTAATCGTGTGACTCCGTGACCGGCAAGGAGCTTAAATTCCACCATTCTCTTTCTCCGCAACGACATCGCGAACCCAATTTTCTTAGAGCCGGCAGTGAGCGATGTCTTCTGTGCGCTCATGAGTCTGCCGAGAACATCGTTCCCGGACTCCTTCTCATCAGCGAGGCTTTTGTTGGGTCTTCCTTTCGGTAGATCGGAAATAAGTGAACATACACACATAAGTGCGCGCGCGTGCGTCAAGACTAGAGCGCGGGTGTGGCGATCGATTCTTGTTTCTCATATTTTTCGACTCTGATAGATGAAAGTTCCTTCCAAGACCAGAGGTTTGGTTTAGAAAAGGATCAAAGATTTCGATGTTTTCGGGGCCGAAGGATTTTGCTCGACAGGGACAACCTTGTGATTATATATCGATCCTGAGACGGTAGACGGATAGATTACTGTAGAAAAAATAACCCGACCTTAGTGTTCTCATTACGCCTATGTGACTTTTTTTATAATTAATGAGATTACGTAATTGCCACCGGCCATTTTGCACAATATTTTTTCCCTGTTTTTAATCTTGAAATACATATATATGAGGAAGTTGGCAAAACTAATTAAATATTATAGACTGAAAATAAGTACATCGAACGAGTGGAACGCGATGAATGAAATAAAAGTGTCGATCGAAAGGAGAGGAAAGGGGGATGAGGGCGAGAACGATGGTTTTAGGATTCTCGTGTGCACTTGGCTATGATTTAAGTAAAATCGTTGTTTAAATGTAGACGATGTTCCAACAAATAGCTTCTAAGAATTAGACAATGGTTTCTGAGAGCTAGGATTACAGTGATTTCGTCAATCACACCAAAGGCCTAATAACTAATTATCATTTTTATTTTCGATATGTGAATAATGTGTAATACATTTGTCGATTGATTGCTGGATATCAAGTCGGCAATGAGAACAAAGTGTTAGCTAATATACACGACCTCAGCTTACGATTCGTTGTGTAATCTATACTCAGCAGGAGTACAGTTGTTATATCTTGCAATCGTAAGTAGCAGATGTACACAGTGGTGCAACAAATTGCATCTAAAGATTGCACAAAATTACATCGTTACAATATATATATATATATATATTTATATATGTATATGTATATACATACATAAATGCAATAACAACGTTGTGACCGAAATTCAAATCGTTCGACGGTAAAACAATTTATCGAAAATATCTTTAATTTTTATATTTCTGTGCGTGTTAGCTTGTTACGTGAGGAAAAGTATCCAGTTTATTGAACGGTAACCATTACGTTATAGGTGAATCATAGGTTTGTCATATATTTCATTATTATAACAATTTTGACCCTGAGAAAAGTAAACAAATCTTTTATTATTAAACACATCTTGACGATTGCGCTGAGAACCAAGAGACCTTGGTTTCCTGAGAAATTGAAGCACCAAGTGTACGCTTGGAAGAACGAGGTATGTTGCACTTTTATTAGAGACGATTCATCACTGTGGATAAATAATCCATTAAAAGTGGGCCATTTTGGTGATATCCGCAATTAAACATTATAAGTTCGGCTAACGGCATAGGTAGGTATGTATATACGTGGTTCGTAGAGTGCATAAAACAGATTTAAAGGAAAAAATTATTTTCCACGCCAAAGACGACTTTCCGCAACGTACGATTTAATCGTATGTCGCAAGTATCGCACAATATTGGGATACAATGTCGAATGAATATTCACCGATACAAACGCACAGAGATGCAGGTGCATTAGCACTGTTTTAGCACCACGAATACCTAGTATCGTGTCGAATTATCTCGGATGACACTTTAAATTCCGGAAATTCACGGTGTTAATGTTCGATTAAAGGAGGGATACATACCTCGGTGGTACTTGCGCGCTGTGCGAGCGATTAATGGAATATACGATCTAGATATTAATATGCCAGAGATATCTAGACGTTTTAATGCACAGTTCATTTGAAACGTAAACCAGGATGGAAGAATACGATACGATGTCACGTTATATACATACATATATACATGTATATGTATTACGTATATATACGTAATATACGACATATAAGACGTAATAAGACGACATTCAATGTTCCGTTTTGAAAATGATTCCCATCACGTGCAAACAGTACGTCCGTCCCCTCTTCTTTTCTGTACATTCTTTCCTTTTGCTAGGTTCTCTTTATCTTGTTTTTCTTTCTTCTCTGAATGAGCTTCTTCTTTCCTAATAATTGCTAAATACGTGCACGCGCGTGTGTATGTATGTGTGTGAAAGAGAGAATAAGTATGAGAACAGAAATATAATATAAATATTTATTTTTTGTTCCTAACTAAGTGAGATATATATCTGTTGTAAAAGTACTAGGAAAAGATACGTAAAATTATCTTTTTTAGTAGAAACAAATACCACGTCGTAAATGTCGTACGACAATTTTCTAGCCATTTTTCTTTTTAACATTAAAAGTAGCGAATGACCATAAATGATACAGAAGATTACATTTTCTTCATCTATATAAAGTATGCAATATATCAGAAAAATTTGTATTTATTAAATATTTAAACGTTGCAAACACAGATTTATCTGTACATTATTGATCTGTAATTTACCGATATATCTATCTGTGACTATATCCGTATCTGTTCGTTTCTATTTCTACGATTGATAAATGTTATTTGCAATACTTATCTAATTTATTACATAATTTATTAACTACTACTAATATCAATTAATTTATTAACATAAAACACATTACGTTTTTTGATTAATAATATTAATATTCCGTTATTCCCTGTGCGAGGGACATAAAAGGAAAATAGAACATGTATTCATTAGAACTGTCGCGGTTCTGTTTGAAAAAATGTTTGAATTACCTATCTGAAAAATTATCAAATTCATAATTTATTAAATAAATAAAAATTCTCGAATATAGAACATACGTAATTGAATTATGTAATGCTGCATGAATATGAAAATTAAAGAAGTAAGAGATTATAAGAAACTACAGGAATAAATATGTTAATAATAACTACTATTTAGATAAAATGACACGGATATCGCGCGAAATATTTTCCGTGGTTTGCGTGCCTGTATGTGAAACGCTAATTTTCTTTCAAAATCGCCATCGCGTATCACCGACCTACAAAAATTAGCGTTACTTAGTAACAATGCTATAATTGTGTTCTGTGCAGGTATTCTCGCGCACTTTCTACTCGCATAAGAAAAATTCGTCATTATACACTCTAAAAGATTGTCTGGCGAGATTAATTACATTTAGCGGCCAGTACTTATTTTGTGACTTTGGTAATGCAATAAATGTTAAATCAAGATGGCGATAAATTTATCGTTTTGACAACCGGCGATAAAGGGGTTCACGGAATTTGCACGGAATATGTCACGTAAAGCGAATAAATGCGATTAGTATATTTACCAATACCATAAAGTATACTTTGTTCAGATCATTTAATCCTGTTGCTATGCTTGTCTTTCTTACCTCCGCTTATGTAACGCCTTATATATCGACACATAACATCACGTAAAATTTCACAAGTACAATATTTCTTTGCATAAACGAAGAGAAAAATCATTCTCGTGATCTTCATCGCATTAAAGAGAGAAAAGTACCTCAATTATATTATTATTATTGTTGTTGTTGTTGTTGTTGTTGTTGTTATTATTATCATTATTGTTGTTGTTGTTGTTGTACTCATATATGTGCGTAAATTATGAGAAAATGATGGTGTATTGTAATATTATTGATTAAAAAAATGACTGCTGTTATTCGTGATAGAAATATTTTTCGCTACGTATTTTTAAAGCGGAGGCTCCGTCGCGATTTTGTGTCGGAATGAAATAAAAGTCAGATCATAGAACCGCATGCGTTTGCGATATTGAACGCATCGAAGAAATTGAATCCTCACTGACAAATCCTTACTGGCTACCTCAGCTCTAAAGCGGTGCCGCTGCTAGTCGTCGATTAGATAGTCTCCTCGTCCGTTTTCTATTCTAATTCTGATGCTATTCTGGTATCGGTGATGGCAGCCAATAGGCAACGCGTTCACCCAGCTACGTTACGCTCGTTGCTCTTCGTTCTTCGCATCTTCAGCCTACGTGCACCACCAGTAACACCCCCTTCTTCCCCGTGCCGAAGACAGTCGCTCTCGGGGCATCGCGTGCGATAGATTAATCCTGCGTATCCCGTCGCTTGTACTCAGCCCTAGTCGATGTCGTTCTTTATCAGCCCGCCATCGGCTCTCATCGTCCGATCTCACCTATGTGCCTGAATCGATTCGCCCCCCTCCCCCCCGTCCGCGTCGGGCGAGCTGGATTATTCCATCTGAACCGCACGGGCAGTGCTCCTCTGAGAGAGCGGTCCTGAACTAGTCGTCAGAATTATCGCCTAACGAGGCAATAACGAGCAGGATAACGCTCACTAAAGAAAAAGTGCATGATGCAGTGGCGTCGGCAGAAGAGGATCACCCATGTGATCGGCTCCTCGAATCATGTGCTGCTCTTAGCGAGGTACCAAGACGGTACGGAACAAAGCCAGGAGTCGCGTGCATGGATCACGCGTCGTTCCTTATTTTTTAACGATCTGTTTTTCTCTCGATGTAGAAAATATGCGGCTATCTAAAAAAGAAGAGAGAGAGAGAGACTTATTTTACGGTTGGAGAGTAGTATTGGAAATCTTGGTATATCGTTATTTTTTTAGCATTTGATAACGTTTGAATACTCGCAGTAGCGCATACGTCGTCGTTCATCGATCAATTCCGCAATTATATTTTTCGTGACAACATATCGGTGCTCTAAGCAAATTGTGCGAGATCGTTTCGAGAACAAAACTTGGCTGAAACACTCAATATTTTCACCTCATTCTTATCACCTATATGTTGGGTGCGATTTACGCATCTGTGTGATTACGCGCCCCCTATTCTTATTTGTTTGATCAATGCATGTGTGACACGCATGCTGACAGAATATCATTAATTTTCTAAAAGTCATACTTGACGTCTATAACGGTATACGATCCCAAGATAAAGAATCTCATCAAAATAGTCGCAATTTTCTCTCGGAATACGTACATACATATATGCACACAGTATAGTATTATATGTATATCATAGATGTTTTATGACGGTAACATTGTAAGAGAAAAGATCCACAAGATGTCTAAGAAATGTCCCGAGTCTTGCTATGTCATTTTGGAAACTTTCGCGTTGTTAGTACAATTATTTACATCGAAATTTACATTCGAATCGCAGCGAGATCTATTATAGATTGTTCTTCTTTTTCCTTTCTTTTCTTTCTTTTTTTCTTTTTTAGCAATGTATCGTATACTATACATAAAGATATTTCTGTTTCATTGAATTTCAATCAATTGAGCATACACGATTCATCAGGTCGTTTCTTATCACGAATCATTTTGCTGCGACAGCTCCGCCTGGTGAAGAGGACGAGGAAGAGGGTTTGCGGAAGGAATACGTGAAGAGCCAGGATAAGGAGGCGAACGCACATACCATCGATCGCAACGGGCAGAGCGGTTACAAACCACGGCGATGCGGCACCGGTACCAGCGGTAGTACGAGTGGCTATGCTAGTAGTAGCTCACGATCGCATCGGGATGAGAGCTCGGGCTCGCCGTCGCAACCTAAGATCATTTTCAACGAGGACGAATACACGAGGATTACGACACCACGGCAAGACGTCCTCTTTAAGAAGGGTTACTTGTCGCGCAAGAAGCCTTGGACCGGTAACGCGAGCACCAGCGCCACACCGTCGACCACGGAGAGTCAATCGGCGTCACATTCCACCGCAGGTAAGTGAAGGATTTAATAGATTTCGAGTTTTTTTCTGTCTTCATTTCTTTCCTCTCTCCCCCCTCTCCCCCCCCCCTCTCTCTCTCTCTCTCTCTCTCTCTCTCTCTCTAAGGTTGAAAAAACAGGTTGTGAAGAATTCAACAAAAACTCCGAGACAAATTCGAAACTTGCGCCTCTCCATAGAGGGAAAACGTTTGTCTTTTCAGAAGAACGCAAACTTTTACAATTGGTTAAATTAGAATAGCTACTAGCAGATCACCATCCTCATTTGCATTGCAGGCGGCGCCAGAACTATTCATGCGGGTAGGCTATATGTATTTATAACAAGACAGCATAATTGTGCTAAAATTTTAGGATGGACCAAAGGGTGAGTCAGGGTCCACCCTTGGCGCCGCCGCTGCTCATTTGTCATCTTGCATATTTCTTTTTGACAAACGATATATCTTAAGCAAAAATATTGTGTCTCTCTTAAACACTAATGTAAATTTAGGGAAAGCCGTTACGTTAGTTTTTACTGTCTCGCCGCTAAGATGTATATCTGTACGTTACGATGTTGCATAAAATAAATAGACGCTTGAACTGCGATGTCCTTCTTCAGACGGCAGTGAAACTACAGAGGATCAGCAGTTATTGGATAGGGACAGTGGAACGGGAGAATATCCGCCCATGGTAGAGTCGGGAGCGCAACTAGGATACGGAACGTTTTATGATCACTCGAGCGGCTACTACTACGAATACCCTGTGATGTTGGTCGGACCTGCGCCAGTACCTGCTCAAGTCGGACCAAGTGTTTTAGCTGCTGTACCCTGCGGCCCAGTGCCTCTAAGGCCGATCGAGTGGATCAACCCTGCCTTCGTGCCTAAACTTGCCAATCAACCGTACTGCTTAATGGATTATCAGGTAAAGTTTTCGTTTCTTAGAATATACATCACGATTGTATAGTTTAACTAAATATAAATATGTTCAAAAACACCCGATAAATCAAGATTCTGAAATGCAAGTTATATACGTCCGAAGTTTATTACATTATTATTGTCAAAGGTTGCAAATGCTTACATACATTACGATGATACGCAATCTTTCAAACGCTGCGTATATTTATTTGTAGACTAGTCAAAGCACAGAAACGGCTACGATAATGGAGGAGCATAGCGACACGATGGTGACGGAAGCCCCCAACGGTACGTGGAACGAGAGCGGCACCGGTAGTGCCAGTTGTAGCGGCAGCGTGGTCGAGGAAGTCGATACCGAAGAGATGAACAGCTCGACGAAAACGACGATAACGACGACGACGACGACAACGATAGAACAGCCAAAGGAGCAGTTCGTTGAGGAACAACAATATCCGGAGCAACATCATGAACATCTTGAGGGTCAGCCACAGCAGCAGGAGCAACAGCAGCACCAGCAGCACTTGGAGAATGGCGGCGTGACGACGGAGGTGGATCCGTACTTGGAGCCGCTGATGCTGCAGGAACCACCTTCGATGCACATGTCGCACGTAGTGCCAGCCGTGCCGCAACCGTACATATATCCCGGCCACTACATGTTCGGTCCGCCCTTGGTCAACGTTAATGGTTAGTTATAGTCAGACTAGCATAGTCAGGTAGCATACGATCAGCGGGTTTGCTCCCTCCGTTCCACCGTTAATGTGCGTACGCGTGCTAATAGATTGGCAAAGTATGATTCTTGTTCTCTCTCTGCTGCTTGCATGAGCAGATCTAGCTATCTAGCTACATACGTAGCCCCCTCTCCCCTCTCATAGCCTTCGTCGAATGTTCACAGTCGAATGGTCGCAATAATGGAACAAGTACGAAATGAGATGTTGTGTTTGTATTTAACAAAAAGAGACGCATTTTAGGAAAGGGCGCGAGTCGCAGTTACAGTCTCGTTTTTACACCGCGATAAAAATCTCTGTGTGAAGGAACGATCTCGCAAGTCATAACTTACACGGTACGCTTCATAATCATTGCAACTCAATTCAAATCATATCTAACGCAGCAAACAACGAAAGTGAAATTACCGAACGAGTCGATCTATAATTAGAAATTTTATAGAAAATTTGATTTACAAATTATTACTTTATTTTATATATTTAACATGTATCCCGCATATTCTTTAGTCTGAGCTCCATCTATTTGAGTCTTCTCATGATATCGCAAATAGTAAAAATTATCATAATATTCGTATCAGCAAATAAGCATACTTTCAATTCCTATCAGTGCAAAAATTGCCGTGTATGAGAGAGATTAATACCCTAAAGTATAAAGTAAAAAAACTGTTTGCACCTAACGTCATACGGGTATATGCAATCAATTACAATATAATTAATGAATTGGCACATAAAATGAGAAGGAAAAGAAATGATGGTAAATGATTCCAACATTGTTGTGTGTGTGTGTGTGTGTGTGTGTATGTGTGGGGTGTGCTGGTCAGTCTAATTGACGCTCCTTCCTTCTACCGCGTACACTGCGTCGTAGTTCGCTTGATTGTACCTATTTCTAATGTTAAACGAGAACAGTGTCGATCGGATGCACGGCCAAGGAAAAGGGATATGCTCCGATTCGTGACTTCTGTCCCGTCCATCGGCATCATTGCTGTTTTATTACCGCTCTGCCTCTACCACATTCAAGGTAAAAGGTAATAATTCGCAAAATAGAGATACCACGCTTTAGACACGATCGTGCAAAAACATGGAGGTATTCCGAGTCTCTATGCAGTTACGTGAGATGGTAGTATTATCATCTGTAAGATTGTTTAACGCTTTTGGAAAATTTATCGAGAAGAACCGACGATGACATTAGTCCTGTACATATAGTTCATTCTTCACGATCGTTCCTAAAGCTTCGACTCTTTACACGCTCTCATGATGTCTGTTCCGATGTTACGACGATAGTGTGTGTTGTGTCACAAGCATCACTGTCATTTGGTGTACTTTTCACCGCTCTCTTTCAATCGCACGTTCCGCATCATTATTCCTACCTCGCACCATCAGCAGTAACGAGAAGTGTGCCTCTCATCCGCGAGTCCATTGACTTCGGGGGAAGGACGCGCCCCCTCCCCCCCCTGCCCCTCGTGTGTGGCCACATCTATTTACACATCAATTTATAACATCAAAACTATGTCTTGGCGACGAGCGAAAGGCGAGACTTTGGCAACGGCAGCGGGACGTTGCTACATCTCTCAAATAGCGCTCGATTAAAAATAACACTTACGCTGTTTTGTTCGCTTCGATGACAAGAAGACACAGAAGGTACAGCAGCAGCGAAAAGCCAAGTTCACTTTCTTATGATCTTCGGCAACGCCGTTCCAGCGCTCTCTCATTTATCATATTGTGATCGTGGATTGGATCGAAAACGGTTCATCCGGCGGAGAACAAATTTTGCACTGAAATTTTACTTTATCACCGACTGATACTCGTTCGTTCGTGCGCAAAACGATAACGCGCGACAATTTCGCTTGTCCAAGGTGTCACCATCCAGGGCGGACCATTGGTGAGAACTATGGACATAGCGGCTGTGACAATGGCTTGCGGCAAACGAAGAAAGAAAAGAAAGAAACGAAAGCAGAAAAGACCTATTTTGGTAAGTAGACGGGAGTGAGCTTGGACAAAGTAAAAGTTTTTTTTTCTTCTTTTTTACATTCCTTTTGCATTTGATATATTCTTGGTTAATAGTATAGCTTAAACGATCGTGTCAGCATTGGTTCGTTAACGAGATAATAATCACAAGAAAGAGCTCTCTCTCTCTCTCTCTCTCTCTCCTCTCTCTCCTCTCTCCCCCCCCCCGGTTTCCTCTGCAAAATGAATAAATATTCTTCTAATTGTAGTAGTAAATATTCTTCTAATTGTAGAAAAGAGAAAATACATCTGACGCATATTATAACGAAATTACATCAATGTACCCACTGTCACCAGTACCCACAAAGACAGACGTGTGCAGATCGCGAAAGATCACTCACGATGCAGCGTACACGATCGAAAATGTTCACTGCTTAATCCGTTTTTTCATTGTTACATTCAGGGTAACACCGAAGATGAGGAGGAAGGAGAATACAGTTCCGAATGTGATAACGATTTATCGTCTTCCCGACTGCCTTGGTCGGATTGTCCGGTCACCACAATTACAACAACGACGACGATGACGACGACGGCGGCGGTGGCGAAACCTCGGCCACTCAATCCGGAGTGTCAGGAATTTCAGTTACGGCCGGCGCTGCAATTCCAAATCTTCTCTAGTCTTGTGGAGACGTCCGCCGTGGCCGAAAATGCTACAACGTATGCCAACGACGCACCGGATGCATCATCGTCGATCATCATCGCCGAGACGGAACCCGCGGGTCTCAGTCGCGAGTTTGACGAGATACGCGACGTCTCGACGGCGCAATGTTCAACGAACTTTGAAGACGCGTCTGCGTCGACGATCCGCGAAAACTCGGAGCAGCTCGTCGCGCAGCAGATGCCATCGGGAAACGTTCCGCAGTTGGCGATTTCGATTGGACCCAAGCCAAAAGACAAGAACATTAAGGTTAACGGTCGCGTGGATTTGATCGAGGATTTGGAGACGGTAGCAACGAGCGAGATCGCCTTCACGGGAGCGAAGAACGACAGCGTGTCGATCGACAATACGACGCTCTTCGGCAAAAACGACACCGTCGAGAACGATAACGACTCGGCGGCCATGGCCGATGTGATAAAACGCGATTTGCTCAAGAGCGATGATAATAGCGTCACCACGGAACTGCTGAATAATCATATCAAGCGCAAGAACAGCAAGGCAGTTTTAACCAACGGTAAGGCGGGCTTCAAACGCCACGGCAAGCTAACGGAGCAGATAAACGCTCCCGACAAGTCGAGATCGCAGAGTCCTCAGGTTGACGATACGTTCACCGATGAATCACGTCCAAGTCTAGTCATGTCCAAAGCGAACGCAACAGTAACGAACGTCAATGTACTGGTGAAAGATGAAGAGGAGGAGGAGGAGGACGAGGAAGAAGAGGAGGAGGAACAGGAGGGGGAGGAACGGCAGAAGACTCATCGAGCTTCATGGCATTGCAATAATTCGTCCGTCGTGCAAACAATGACTGCGTCATCGTTGACGCAGCCGAAAAAGTACAGCAAGAAAAGTCCGAAATTCGTGAGGGAGCCTACACCTGGGCCGGATCTGGGTGACCAGGCGACGCGCTCGGACATGGAGAACGGCAAAATGGTCGTGCGTCGGCTCGAATCTGTCGAGCTGCCGGATGACACGCGCGTAGCATACGCAGGTCGCGACGACGCTGCTGATACGAATGTACTACTCGGCAATGACGACAGCAAGACTAAGACGACCATAAGTCAGGAGACGGTTGAGGGTTCCAATGAGGATTCCGGTTTCGAGAGTCAGACTCGATTGTCGAAGTATCCGATTACAGCCGCGGTGACAGAGTGGCTGCGTCGTACCAATTCGCCGGACATGTTCCTCACACCGGTGTCGACGTCGGACAGCGAGACAGACGGCGACGAGGATGATGATGAAGAAATAAATACAAAGCCGCCAAAAAACTTGCAAGGCAACCCCATGCCTGCACTATCTGTTAATAGCGGCGTCGACAACAGTGTCACTACGACGTTGTCGCGTACGGCTAGCTGCGGCGAATTCGCAAAGTCCAACAACAACCATAACAACAACAATAACAACAACAACAACAATAGCAGCAACAACATCAGGATGATCGATCGAGTGGAGACGAACGGCACGTCGCTGATCGGCAGGCGCAAGAAGGACACGGCAGGTGCAACGAGGAGAAAAACAGCAACGACAAAGAAGACCGACAAGCGCAACGGCAGAAACGTTGATGAGAAGACGCAGAAGCACTTGGTTTCCTCGTTGGTCCCTTGCCACCGATTAGAGAACATCGTCGGCGCCGCGAAGCTGAAGAATCCGTCGGAGAGCAGTGTTGGTGACATTTGCGAATTTACTCAGAAGGATAGCGTTGCGGGTATGAGGGTTGCTTTAAGTTCTCGGATAAATTCGAAGAGAGTCAACGCAAGACGAGCCAAGACATTGCGTAGGATCAAGAGAGATCCCGTGGAGAATATTGATATCAGGATGCGACGTATAGACGACACGAAGAACGTGAAGAACGACGGCGGCGGCGAAACTGCCGACAACAGCGTAAGCGTGCGAACGTTTGAGAAGGGGGAGATTATCGTCTCGAAAGATGGCAGATTATTGCCGACTTCCTCGTACGAGCAAGTACCATCCGACGATCGAGATACCTCGGAGTTAACGACGAAAACGATCGCCGTCGACATGATCAACGAAAACGTGCGGGAGGAGGAGGCGAGGAACAGTAGCGAGAATGACGAAAACATGATGATGTCCTCGGTTAGCATAGAGGAACCCGACGTGTTGGAGTGCTGGGAGGCGGAGACCATCGAGCCCGTGATCACACCGAAGCGAATGTTACAGAGCCCTGGTGTCCTGTGCGAGGGTGAAGCCGTGGAGGACGACAGTTTGGAAGTCGAGAAGGCCACCGTGGAACATGTGCGCAAATACTACAGACTGGACAGCAGCGCTATCAGCATTGATGGGGAGTCGAGCGAATTGAGCGTTCGCTCGGTAGTATCGGTTCCGAAGTCGAGAATAGTGCCAAATAATCCAGGGAAGATGATCGAGCATCTCCGCGGCGTCGAGGAGATCCCGATCGTCATGCCGGACAAAAGTCGGGACATTATTTTGGGAGACGAGAAGATACCGGTCGACGAGGCGTTCGAGGTGTACGAGAGCTGTTATACCGCTGGGAAATCACCATTCCCAGCGCCGTTCGACTCGAGCATGTTCAAACAACAGCGGCCATTACTCCAGAACGGCGACGGCCCGATACCGTGCAGAGCGGTGTGCTGTAACATACAATAATGACAGAAGCAAAATCTCTCTCATACACATCCCCCATCGTACACGTGCGCGCACACACACACACACACACACACACACACACACACACACACACACACACACCTACATACATACATACATACATACATACATATACACGCACGCATACGCGCGTGCGCGAACTATTCCACGCAATGAAGAAAGCGCGGAATATATCGTTACAATATAGATAGAGTATTACAAGATATACTTAGAATGTATTGTAATAATATGTTACCATGGTCTCGCAACAAGGTGATTCAGTTTTTTCCAAAATAAGCCGTTGACGTTACACTTCTCCGGGTATATCGCGCCATGTGTGCACGCGTGCACACATAATACGCGCGTATGCATCTCATGTTGTTCGGAAAAATAATTAGAAAAAAAAATTACCTCGTTGGGCAAATTGTTCTCTTTTTCGAAAGCCCAACGAGACGCGCTCAAGCGAACTGAACGATGTTATCTTGAAAACGCGTGAATCGCGTTTCCATTTTTGTAAATAGTTTTAAGGTTTTGTTTATGATCATATTTCATCATTTAAAGAATTTTCAAGATTTTATGTATGAGAGGCATACATTGTAGTCACTCTACGATAGCATTTTACCTGTCATTATACACTTTGACTACCATGTTATCATGTTGGATGATGTGTGAGGTTCCGAAGGTCTCTCTCTCTCTCTCTATATATATATATATATCTCTCTATCCCTTTCTTTCTCTCTTTCTCTTATCACTTATTTGCGAATGTCTTTGCGGTTGATGCTTCCGCATATGAAAAAATGTCAATTTCATAGCTCACATGAAAAAGAGACGGCTTGCATTACGATTAAGTAACAAGTTAAACGTTAAATGTGTGCGCGCGCGTGTATGTATGTGTATGGATTGCGAAAATAGATATAATTATCTCTTCATTGATATAGTTGGTTTCAAGTTATCAGACGGTATATTTTATACATAATCACACATCGACAGAGAATTTGGGCCTAGTTGATAAGGTTCACATCTTAAATCCAGCATGATAGTCAAAATGTTAGGTATATTGCCATGTGTCATTGTTCATTGTAATCATAAATTGGAGAGATTTGTAACGTTCGATGTCAGCTTTTATCAGGATCGAGCTTATCAAAAGAAAATATATTGTTTTTTTATGAATATATAAGAGAACGTGGATTTTATTTTAAATGAAATGAAACTTCAATGCACGAGGAAATGCGCGCACGTGCACACATACACACACACACACACACACACACACAGAACACACACGCGCGCGCGCGCGCGCGTGAAGAGGCATATATAAAATATGTGCCAGACTGTTATTTTTAACATTCTCGCTACAATATCTCATAACGCACTTTGCCAAAATGATAAAAGCATTATTTTTACAATCTATATAAAAGACACGAATATTAAAAAAGACTAAGAGTTATTATATCATGTTGGATGGCCTTCGCTTAGGGAAGTTTTAATCGCTCACAATTATTCGACTCAACGTCATCAGAATAAACCGCATTCATTCGTAAGATTTTGATTTTTCTTCGGTCTTATTTTTTTCTGTTTTATTATTTTTTTATTTTCCCTTTCAATTTGTTTTTCTTTCCTTTCGTCGAAAATGGATGTATTATATACATATTATAACCGAGAAAGATCGATAAAGAGTTGAGAAGTTCTAGAGAAATAACATATGCTTTTAAGTAGCGTACATATTAATCATGCAGAAAATAATATGACGTTTTTGTAGAAGTACTAGTTGAAAATGGGCGGCAGTAAAAACAATGAGCTACATTAGACCTTGCCTTAGCTGTTACTAGGAGATACGAGAGAATAAGATGTATATAAAAAGAAAGCTTATAAGACAGTTAAGGAGTAAATCTACATTCAGTCAGAGATCACGGGAGACTAGGTCTATTTCTATTTTTTGTCCTTTTGTTTTCGTTTCTTTTCTTTGATAGACATCGATTTCGATGGACTCCAGAATCGGATGAATGCACCGCAAGGACGTATTATATGTATTTACACATACATAAAAGCTGCACTTGTTAAAGACATGATCCACGCTTCAGTTGATTTGTGTCAGAGACAGAAAGATCGAGAAGTATCGTATCTTAAGCTGCGTGTCGACGTGAGTCTATTAACATAGACGATTGACATATTCGTTTGTAAAAAATCATAATTCTACATACCGTATACATGATATATCATAACACGTTAACATACCTCAGAAAAATGTGTAAATAAAGTAACGATCATCCAGACGTTAGCACAAGACGCATATAATGAATGATAATAAATATTAATAAAATTATTACACATTAATGATATGATAATAAAGCGCTGGCAAATTATGGATAATGAGAAAAGAACGATTGATGAAGAAACTATTCTAACGTAACAGCAATATATAAATACCATTGTTCCTGCAAAGCTCTAGTTTCGTTAAGCATGATCTAAATGTATATGTGTGTGTATGTGTGTGTGTGTGTGTGTGTGTGTGTGTGTGTGTGTGTGTGTGTGCGCGCGCGCGCGTGCGTGCGTGCGTGCGTGCGTGTGTGCGCGCGCGTCATAAATCATTTCCAAGATAATCCGTAGCTCGGATAGAAAGACGTTTGTTCACACAAATAAAAAATACATTTAAAGATAAGTACGAATATATATCGTTATGTTAATAAAAATGCGCGTTGCATCAATTGTGTGCCTTATTCTGTGGCGGCCGTTTTTGTAACTATTTCAGATCACTCTTCTTCATAATAGTCAGTAGTGAGATCGAGGTATGATTAAGCCTTGTTAAAATTGATGAAGAGCGAAAAGGAAAGAGTGAGAAGAAAAAGAAATTTTGCGGGAGATTCGCCCGTGCGCCGCAATAATGATCCTCTTATCGGGGCATGCACACCCAAAAAATAAAACGGACTACTCATTTAATTCCTTGTTACAACATTATACCGACTTGTATCCGTCATTATAGGCGAATGTGTATGTACAACCGGCATGCGATTACTCATAAAGACATTGAATCGTTGCATCTTACACAAGTCATGTTATATAATTATCTTAGTTGAAGTTAACACGTACGGAATAAGTGTATTTGAATTTTGTTGTGTTTTTGCTTATAAAAATATGAATAAAATGTTTCAATTAAATCGGTGGTTCTCTAGTCTCTTGATTCGCTTTCGACGATCGATCGTACGTACGCATAATTAGCAAAGATAAAGACATACCCAGTCAAAACGTCGATTCAACGTTGATCTGACATTAAAATGGTCGATGAAAAATGTTGAATCAACGTTGTGGTTTTGACTGGGATACACGGTCAAATGTTAAAAAGAGAATACTATTCTCTTGCTATATATTATATTGCATGATTGTATTTTCTTATATAATCTTTTCCATACGATGTTGTAAGTTATAATCGAGTAATAGAAATACTTTTAATTTTGTAAATCGGATTAATAATTGGAGATATAGGAGTGTATATATAAGTATGTGTCCGCATGCGTGCACGCACATACACATTTGAAAATTATTAAATATGTATATTTTATAAATTCTTAACGCAAGAACAGAGAAGATTTTTATCTTACGTTTGATTAATGTTCAATAAACATGTTTGAATAGCGCATTTGAAATCGATCTCAAAATCGTGTATATCGAGTGCTAATCGAGAGTAATCGATATCATAATATCGATTACATTCAATAATTAACGGTTGCTTAACTTTGCTTCCTTTTAATTCAGGTATGATCGAATTGGCTCGCGGAGAAAATCTTTGCACGTAGAAAATAATAATCGTAAGGTCGTAAGAAAACTGACCAATTACAGTCGATTATTATTCTCTAGTACAAAGAGAATCTACTGAGAGAGTCTACTGGGATTGGTCAGTTTTCTTACATCTTGAGCGAGATTCATAGTGTTGCTACAATGGCAGCAGGAGTAGTAGATTAAGGGCGGATTCAAACCATGGCAGAAAAGCAGCATCCAATCAGAAATCGCGCTGATAGTCTGTCTGTTTTTCTTTTTTCTCTCAAGAGAGCTCTGTTTTCTGCTTTTCTGCCCAGATATAAATCCGCCCTTAGGGAGGAAGAACCGCCCACTTTACAGACCTTCTACAATAAGCCGACTACAATTAAGCCAGCGGCACACGGTGCTTATTTTCGTCGTGCTGGATTGCTTGCTGGATGAAAATACTGCGTTCTGATTGGTACATTTCCGAAGATGGATGGAAATGCACCAATCGGAACGCAGTATTTTCAACTAGCAAGCAATTCAGCACGAAAACAAGCACCGTGTGCCGCTGTTTTTAGTCTCGAGCCATAAGCAAATTGACCAAATATCCTAAAAAATAATCGATCGTGATTGGTCAATTTGCTTGTGGCTCGAAACCGCAGACTTTTATAGTATAACTAGAGTGCGTTCCGTTTCACACATATGCGCACATGTTTTATAGTATACGTGACATAAACTATAGATAAATGCGCGCATATGCGTGAAACGGAATGCACCCCTAGACTGCTAAGCCTAATATAAAGCCAGCGGCACACGGTGCTTGTTTTTGTGCTGGATTACTTGCTGGATTGCTTGCTGGATGAAAATACTGCGTTCTGATTGGTGCATTTCCATCCATCTTAGGAAATGCACCAATCAGAACGCAGTATTTTCATCCAGCAAGCAATCCAGCATGAAAACAAGCACCGTGTGCCGCTGGTTTTACATTTGTCGTACGACAATGTAAAGGCTCGTCTACAATAGCTGTAAGAGTAAGGCTGTAAGGCTATAACGTAAGCTGTCAGCGAATGAAAATATTTCATTTCGTATCTTGCAACCTTACAGCCTTACTCTTACAGCTAATGTAGACGAGCCTTAATATAATGTAATATAAGTCCCTAACTCCCTTGTATACTGTTGCACAAAATTGACCCCAAAAAGTGTGTATTAAGGCCCATCTACAATGGCTATAGGAATAAAGTTGTAAGCGTAAGCAGTAAGAAATGGACCAATCATAATCGATTATTCTTATAATATATTATATCTAATATATTATATCTTATAATATATCTAATAATATTATTCTTATAATAATCGATTGTGGTTGGTCTATTTCTTACTGCTTACGCTTAGGCCGCGTTCCGTTTCACGCATATGCGCGCATTTATATATAGTTCATGCTACGTATACTGTAGAAAATGCGCGCATAATGCGTGAAACGGAACGCAGTTCTAGAACCTCATTCTTGCAGCCGTTGTAAATGGGCCTTTAAATAAGGGAATCAAGCATCTCCGCATGCTGCATGAAATTGGTAGTCCACAAGGAGAGAGGACATAAACAATATGGCCGATCCAATTAGAAGAAATGTGTTTTGATTCAAGCAATCAGACGTGAATGTCGGACCACCAAGACGGTACATATTTTTCGGAGTCGTGTATTGAATCGGAGTTAGCGGTCTAGTTATACTATAGAAATCTGTGCTCAAAACTAACGATTTGTTGTGTAGAAGTCGTCGTATCGCAGTTACGGTTAAACCGTAATCACCCTAGTGATTGCCGATTGGATTACGATTGCGATTGGCAATTAAAATAGAGCATTGTCTAAACAGTAATTACCAATCACAATCGGTGCCTGTTTTGCCCTAATTGGTTGAAAAGTCAATCGCCAATCGTCAATCGCAATTGCAATCCAATCGACAATCGCTAGTGTGATTACTGTTTTAGGCCGGGTTTACAATAGATGTAGTAAGCTTTAACCCTTACGAAATTAACCAATCCTAGTCGATTTTTACAAGAATAATCGAATAAAGTTAGCCAATTTCTTAAGGCTTAAAGCTTACTACACCTACCCAGACAGCACCAGACATCCAATGGATGTACGTTTCACGTCCATATTTATATATATTACGTCCGTATGTCCGATTTACGTCCGTGGACATAAATTGGACGTAACAAGGATATCCTTATTGGACATCGGACCTGTAGGACGTCCGATGTACGTCTATCGGACGTCCTATGTCCGAAGTTGTGACAAACGTACGTCCTATGGACGTCTTTTGTAAAAAAACTGGACATATAACGGACATCCAATGGACATCCGTGTGCTGTCTGGGTATTGTAGACCCTACCGGCCGTACCGATTTTCTACGGGAAGCAAAGGACTTAACAATTATCCATGATGGATGTATACTTCGAGATTTCTCAAATCGCTTTAGTTTTTTCAAAAAAACGCCCGCTAATGAAAAAACGTCCGTTGCATCAGCTAGACAAACATACACACACACAGCTCGTAGTATAATTCTATTCCGTAAATTAAAAAATAAAACTTAAATAGATATAAAAATGTAGTAGAAAATTTTCAGAAGAAAAGTCCTTAATATATATATACTATACGATATTCATGTAAGCATCTCATTGGTCAAGATAATCATGTGTACGTCACATGTCTATTCCTACATACAAGTCAACCAACAATAAGTACCAGGAAGCATAAGCGTGATCGATCAATCTCTCGTTTATATTCTGAAAATAATATAGTATGTAACAGCATGGTGGTTGATTATTACAATTATATTATATTATTATAATATAATTAAAGCCAGCGGCACACGGTGCTTGTTTTGGTGCTGGATTGCTTGCTGGTGAAAATACTGCATTCTGATTGGTGCATTTCCATCCATCTTCGGAAATGTACCAATCACAACGCAATATTTTCATCCAGCAAGCAATCCAGCACGAAACAAGCACCGTGTGCCGCTGGCTTTATTTTCTACTATTTGCCACGTTTCTATGGCTGCGTTCCGATATTCACTGCCAGTACTGAAAATACATAGTTTGCGTCACGTATACTATAGATTTTTAGTGTTGACAGTGAATATCGGAACGCAGCCTATGTAGAGCGTCATAAAACACTTCTCGATTCGATTCGATACGATATGAACTAGATCTCATGTATCGCTTTGAAAATTAGACGAGTATCGAGAGCTCGCAAGAGCAAGAAAAATGGCCGTAATGTATCTGAGAAAAAGAGATGGAATGAGAGAGAGGGAGGGAGTCGGAGAGGGAAGTAGGGCGGGCGGGAGGAGGAGGAAAGAGAGAGAGAGAGAGAGAGAGAGAGAGAGAGACGTCGTGCACAAGAGCGGACACGAGCAGTGCTGTGACAATTTTATATATATGTTACCCGCTCGCTACATTCGGTGAAGGCTGCAGGTCACATATGTACGCATACGTACGTATACATACGTGATACGTATGCGCTGTGCGCGCATAAAACGGTGTAGGGACATATACGCACGCGATAGACGTACACGCGCGCGTGTGCACTCTTTCTTTCTCTTTCTTCCTTTCTGTCCGTCTTCCTTCACGTCTCTCTCCGCGCTTACTCCTGGCTCACTCGCTCTCACTCTCTCTCTCTCTCTCTCTCTCTCTTTCTCTCTCTCTCTTTCTCTCTCTCTGCCGCGCCACGGAGCAGAGGGAGGCGGCGGGTTCGGTGAGGAGGTAGTGGAGCGAGTGCGAAAGACGAGTGAACGTGAGCGAGTGCGAGCGAGCGAGCGCAAGTCGGGAAGCAGAGCGCGAGCGTGAGCGGTAGAGCGGCGGCGAGTGTGTGTCGGCATAGAGCGAGCGAGCGAGCGAGCGAGCTAGGCGAGAGTGCGTGCGGTGGTGGTGGTGTGACGACTGGTGCCGTGGACGGACGGACGGACGGGTCGGTCGGTCGGTCGGTCGGTCGGCGGTCGGTCTGTGGTGTGTGGAAGGACGAAGGAAGGAAGGAAGGAAGAAAAACGGGAAGGAAGTGTGCAAAATTCGCAAGTGCGCGCGTGCCGGCGGCGGTGAGAGAGAGAGAAGAGGAATACGTTGGGGATTTGTGTGAGGGCATAGCTCGCTGGTGGCGATTCGAAAAAGGGAGATTATCGTCGTCGCCGCCGTTGTCTCGAAAGAGTCTCGCGCGCGCCTTCACGGACCAGTGTGTCGTTGGGATCTCTATCTGTCTCGTTCTTTTTTCCGTGTTCACACATACACACACACACACATACACACACACACATATATACACGCATCCATACATACCACACATTCTCTCTGTCTCCCTTTATCTCTCTCTCTCTCTTTCTCTCTCTCCCCCTCACTCTCCGATCGCCGGGGGGCCTGCCGCCGCGAGGACGTCGAAGGAACGACGACGTGTGGAAGTTTAACCGGGAGAAGAGGAGCGTTTCGTGAGGAGCACAATGTCCGACCGAGAGAGCCTGGACGATCAACCACAAAGTAAGGAAACAGCCGGGCGAAGAGAAGCGCCACGACTGTTCTCTCTCTCTCTCTCTTTCTTTCTCCTCTCTCTCTCTCTCTCCCCCTTTCTCTCTCTCTTTCTCGTATATTCCATATCTCTTTTCACCGTCTCTTTTTCTCCCACGTACTTGGTCTTGCGACCGCTATGCCTTGGCGGCGTCGCGCTGAACGGACGAAACGTGCGCGGTTCACGTCGCGAACAGACATCTTTTTTCCCGTGGCCTATTCCCCCCTCCCTTCCCCTCCTCCCTATATATACACATATTTATATATTTTTCTTTTTCTCCGTACGTTTGGTGCTTGGGTGCTTCTTGTATGCAGAACGACGTACTTGCACGAACGTTAAATTCGGAGCAGGATGAGAGCATTCGTCTACCTTCTTGGAGCATCGAATTTGCTAACGCGACAAACCCCTTTCCCCCTGTCGCCGCTTCCATCTTACTCTCTCGTTATTCATGAGATCCGAAGAAATAACTTAGCCCGACAAACCGTCACGAGAACGCGTGCACGCACAAACATGACTTTCCGCGTCCTCGTGGCTGGTTCTGTCAGGCGCGCGCTGCAACGAGAATCGCTATTTTTCAACGGCACCCAGGATCCAAGATGGCCGGCTGCGTGTCGACCGAGAGGATAGCCTCTCTCGTCCCCACCGTCTTGCCTACATGCTCCACTCTCTTGCTCCTTTGGCTGGGAGTCTTTACCTTCCTCCCCCCTGTCTCTCTTTCTTCCTCTATCTATCTATCTATCTATCTATCTGCGTATGCGTCTCCGTCTCTCTTGCGCTTTCCTTCCGTCTCTCTCCTTTGCATGCGTGCTCTTTCTCTTTCTCTCTTTCGACATCGTCGCTCGACCCTTGTGTGAGTTGAATATTTGCAACTTCCGACATTGTCGAGCGTCGCAATGCCGGTTCTCTATGCGGCGCTCGCTTTTCTTTTTTTTTTCTTTCTTTCTTTTCTTCTCCATAAGCCGGTCATACGACCCAAGCACAAAATCTCGTCTCGGTTGTTGCTTGATCCGATACGAACAACCGGAGCACAAAGTGCTACGTGATAAACTGACGGAGCCGTTTCACGGGCGCGGAGGAGCGCAAGTATGATGTAATTTAGTTGCGAGATCTACCCAGTTACCTATCTATCTCTGTTTATCTATCCAGAGGCGCGCCGGCACGAAACCGTTTTGTCCATTCGAGTTGTCCACGGATTGTATGAATTTCACACATACGCTCAACGTCGCGAACGCTTTAGCGCGCGAGGTTAAGTTACACTTCTAGGTTTGTTTGTGGCACGCCCTGAATATACGTAACTTTGTGTGTTGTGCTGTTCGTAAACGTTTATTCACAAATGAAATAACGAAGGAGATCGTCTTTCTCTGTCGTAACGCCGCGTCTTTTGACTTCGAAATCAAAAAGAACCAACTAGCGTGGCTCTGAATAGCTACCGTTATCATCGAGCATCGGTCTTTGCATTTTCCATACGTTCACAATTTCGATGCCTTTCTTCCTCGAGTCTCCCGCAGCGACACGTACGCATCTTTATCGCTCCTAACCTCATTTTTCACACCTCTTCCCTTGCGCTGCGAGTCGCGCGACATTGACACTCTCTTTCTCTCTCTCTCTTTCTCTCTCTCTCTCTCTCTCTCTCTCTCTTGTTCTTCGTCCATCACATATTTTGCTGATTAAATTAGACTTAGCGGTTCTAGCGCAGCTAGTGAGTATCCGCTGCTAGCATGGATTATTTGTGGCCTGGCACAAGACACGTGCAAAAATCTTGATAAAGTTTGTGAAGATTTGCGTGAAATCCATGTATAAAAACTTATGGAACATTGGCGATTTTAAATCTTGATACTGTGTATACGTGTCGATAAATTTTGCATATTTCTTTTTATGTTTTTATCGCGTCAAGACAAATATGATTTGAGCGAGAGAAAGAGAGAGAGAGAGAGAGAGAGAGAGAGAGCTTGTTTTTTCGTAAAGTTCTTACGTTTCTTTTATGAACAATAACGAGAGAACGAGATTGATTAGCACAAGATGCTCTTTCCTCCATGGCTGTAGCGTCGAACATTGAACTTGAAGGAGTTTATATCGGTTTCAGTAACAACTTAACAAACATATTTTAGTCTTTCGCGTAACAAGCTCGTTCATGAGTTACGGCAACATCACGTAACTCGGACTCCAAATTTAGTATACTATGTCGGAATTTTGATATTTTATATATATTGTTATTCATACACTACGATGTACTCAAGTTGAAATTTCTCTCGTATTCCTCGTTATAGCGGACATTTCTCCCTGTTGATATTGTGCTACGACATTTTATTATATACTCAAAAAATGGCACAAAAGATTTAAAAAAATATGTGTATATATATATATATATAATATTACGAAATAATATGTAAAAATGTGGTAACATGGAGAAAACAAAATGTACTAAATTAACGCGACAAAACGAACAAATGTAACACATTTTGATTGGAGGAAACAGAATTTCTAGTTCTCATGAGCCAGTTTCAGTTACCAGAACCAGAATATTCTATTTCCCTTAACTTAAGTACTTTTGGTTCATTCATTGTCATGCTAATTCAATTTATCTTTTTCTTCCGTTGTATAATAAAATATATATGAACGGCGAGTTTTTGTTTTCACAGCTGCCTTGAGATGTTATCCTGTTAAATATTTTTATTAAAACCAATCAAACTTTGAAAATGCCAATTGTGACTAAAGTATTATTTATTGCACTTGTGCAATTCTTAGCAAAATCTTTTTTACCGGAAATAGAACCTCGCTAACGACGATTATTTTATCTTCACAATATATCTTGTGTTTCTTATTGCTAATTTCTAATCTAATTATTTCTTATTGTTTAATATTGTTAATTTATACCAATATTTCTATGTTAGTCGTTAATTAATAACGTCTTGTATATTTTACCAGAATATGGAAACCCAAGCGGTATGGATGCTGGAGGTGCTGATTTTGATTCTGGTAAGTATCTAACTATATTAGTCGTTTGTAGTAATTACAAATATAGTAGAGGATATAAGTGAATGAGAAAGATATATATATATTCTTATATTCTTATGAGATTTAAATTATCTTTATACTTTCAATAATAATATGACAATCTAAACATGTATTTTTTACTCACTGACCTCTGTTTACATTTATTTTCTTGGTTAATTATTTTTCAAAATTTACTATAATATGACTACACAAATTTATAAGCGATCTGTCGCATATAGTTTAGCGGTATTTCTGCAATTCGATAAATCTTAATGAAAATATTGTATCGATTATATCTCTATGTATCTATTTTCTTCATTCTGTGCGACACAGAGCGCCATCTTTGATCATTACGTAAATTATCTTAACTTACCGCAATGCAGAATGTCCTAAAATTAATGGAATTTGGACTATCTTCATTATCCATCTATTCATCAATTGATCGGAAATATATCATTTTCCCATTGAAATGTCTAGATATTATCTCTTGAGTAATTAACGACAAAACATAAAACTTTGAATTCCATTTGTATAATAGGTATATAATAATTGTATTATATAATAACTAAAGATATGTAATAACTAAAAGCCGTAAAAATCCCGTAAAAATTTGTCGCCACAGAAATTGAAAGCAACGATCGATGGCACCAAAATATTTTGCATGTAATACAATGAACAAGGCAATGATTTATTTCTCAAAAAAATGAATTATTTTATCCGCACACTAAACATACTTATTTGCGAAGGCAAATTATATTGGACAGTAGTAACTGACACAAGTAAAAATTATGATAAATAAATTACGGCGAAATATGACACCTTATCCGTATCGTCTACTACAATATGTCAGTAATTTGCGATAAATTTAATCACACAACGTAATCATTTCATAAATCATAATTATCTAATATAACCGTGCTGTGTAAATGTAAAATCAAGATTAAACGAGACGCATTTTACATTTCAACTCCGACTTACTTTCAACAATATTTCATATATTATATAATTCTCATGTTAATTACTTTCCTACTTTCTTTCTCGGGGGAAGTGTCTTTGTCGGATCTCATTTGTGTACTATAAGTGCGAAGGTGCTGTACGACAATTCCAATTAATACAACCAGTCGGTAATTTCGTCACATTTCAACATTTCGAAACGTACCTAATGTATGCAAGTGTACATTGGAGGATGAAAGGGAAGTGGTCTCGTATATGTTTCGGATAAATTTTTACGGATATCCGCAAGACAGATTCGAGCAGAATCCGAATCGGAGTGCAGCGGCCGGAAGCGAGAGGCGACACGAGACGAGACGACACGAGACGCGACGCGACGCGACACGACGCGACGCAACGCAACGCGACGCGATGCGATCCGACCCGACCCGATCCGACCCGACGGCAGTGGGGCGCCGCTACTAGAGCGCAGTCAGCTGGTTGTGACGTCACGCGCCATGTCGGTAGGCGCGAGCAGCGTGCGAATAGTGGGAGCAGCCGCCGTGCTGTCACGTGATTTAAACCGCGTAGTCACGTGGCGGCGTATCGCTCACAGTTGCGAGAGCCGGCGCTGCGCGGCTGCGGATTGGCGATCGCGTTCACTCGCCGCCACCATGATACGCGCGCATTCCATTGGCATGACGGCGGGCTCCATGAATGACCGGCACGTCATTCGCGTACAATTTCGCGTTCGACGATACGTCGACGTGTCGTGAACGTGTCATTGCTCGTACGGTATTTCGTGGCCGTTTTCACCGATGTGTAATGTACGCGAATGTAAAACGACGACGACGACGACGACGACATAAGACGCCGTGATCGCGCCCCCGTACGCGAGATGCGATGTGTCATTGCACGGTGACTACACCGGCTCGGCGCCGTTGGCGTTTTTTCCTTCTCGCGTCGTTCGGCTGTATCGGTCTTATTGTCAGTGGTGTATCGTCGCCTCATATCCGTTTCCACGAACACTTTCGTGAGACCTTTCCTCGTATATATAGCACCGTTACCGCGGCTGCGAATCAGAAACCGGACGCGAGCTAGTCACTGGTACTGGTTGACGTGTCGACACGTGTGAAAATGTATTCCCGAAAAATCGCGAGTGTGGTGTATTCCAGTGTCACGGAATTTCGATGATTTGTGAATGCGTGAAAACACTTTTCATGCGTGTTCCGCTCATACTTGGTGCACACGAACAGGTGATGATTCTACGTAAAAGAATAAGGAGGAATCGAAGATGTGCAATGAAATATTGTTAGCATGAGAAATAGAAAATTGTGGAAAATCATTGAACATTGGAATATCAATAATGTTCTCCCCCTCTCTCTTTTTCTCTCTCTCTCTCTCTCTCTCTTTCTCTTTCTCTCAACTTGATTGATATTTCTCATCTTGGACAACAGTTCTCGTTTTGAAGACAATTATAAAAATGTGACTAAAAACGCATGTAATAATTCACTTACAGAATATCAAAATTTTCAATATATTCGAGGTTTGATTTCTATGTGATACGTATTTGATACGTATATAATTTCCATGTAATTCATACATTATTTCTCTTAACACATTATTGTACTTATTATACTTATCAATTTTCTACAATATAACTACCTCGCCCCCTCTCGTGCCAAAAATATATATGACATGATGCGAATTTGAAAATTCATTCAAACGTATCTCTGCGAGTGATGTCATAAAGTAGCGGGTCATATCGATTCTCCGAAAAGCGTACCATAGATTGTACGATGAAATTTCATTTCGTATCTTCAATTTATATTCTCGTTGATTTGTCGCACGCATATCATCATCGCCGAGAGAATATCCTAGAGAGGAGAACTTTGTTTGTTGAAAATGTAGAGAGAGCCTTCGATAGCGCCACTTGGTTTTATTGACTCGATCGGTCGGAGATCGCTCTCGGGTTGCGCCGAAAGTCAATCTCGTGGCATTCGAAGGGCGTCGATCTCATAACGTTGCCTTTGATAAAAGTGACAATGCTATTATTATACGTACGCGCAAGACAGAGTGCAATTCACTGTAGATCTAGACTGACGTAGAAAGTGGCGCTTGTAATTAGTAGCTTTTACGTCGGTTTTGTGCGCGGGATACGTTTCCAGTGAACAAATATCTCCTTGAGGAGGGAACACGCCGGTCATTCGTGATTCCGCGTTGAAATTTCGTCTTATACCGACGCGGCTGACAATGGGAGAGATTGTGGAAATATCACAGGGCGACGTCCACGAGAATCCGCCGAAAAACTGGGACGACATCATGGAAAAAATACAATATTGGTGTCCAGAAGGTAACCTTTGCGTAATCTTTGGATTTTTCAGTATGCAATGATTATGTTTCAGATCTCCACCCCCCCCTCCGATTAATTTTATTCCTCTCGCGAGATACGTAAACGTCTCTCCTCGTCGTCAAACACTTATGCGAAATATGTTATCGCAGAACCGAATGAAACTTTAAAAGTACTTTTCCACGAGATTAATGTTTTTTTCTTTTTCCCCCGAGAATATCTCGTTACGCGAGAAATATTACAGTTAATCGACTACTCAAATGCTGTGGAATACCTCTCAATTGCGGAGAGGACTGACAATGCTCTTTTTCTTGTGTTGTTTCTCTGTCTCATTTTGGTAGTTATTCTAAATAATACTAAATATGCGATTTAGGGGCATCGCACTTTCACAATATCAATACATATGTCATTCAAATATATCATCGAAGATGTAACATACCTTGATTCTGTTGATCGGACGCACGCGTTCAGGTAGTTAAATTTTAAATATATTAAGTTATCGGCAGCGTTGAAAGAAAAGGAATCAGCATGTGTCAATATATCGCGAATACCATCGAAATACAAAAGCGATAAGTATTAATTAAATATGATTGCGTTTTATTTTATTGCGTAACAAATTTGCAGCTTTGGCTTTTATTGCTTGTAAGGTGTACCACTTCCGCTATTCACGTATCTTTTTTGCGTTACAATTAAGACGGGCGTTAGACTTGAATCACACATGATTCATTGACATATTCGTTCCAAGAACTGTGCCTGATTCAGGGACAGTGAGCCCCTAACGTAACTTGAAGTCACGATAATCGTCCATCCATCCATATCATAGGAGTACCACCGACTAATCCGGACCGATACCGTTGCCGAACAGTTAGCGATCCGTAGTTTCACCTTCAGTTTCACCGGCTTTTTCACGCAACAACTCTACAAATTCGTCAGAACGGATTGTGCGTATTCTTGAAATTTGCCGTTTGTTCTTCAATGATCATCCACACTTGATCTTACCTCTCGCGATGACGCTCGGTTGTCAGTTTCGTTTTGCTCCATGCCAGAGGCGGTGGACTCTGGTGGGGCGCAGCGGCGCGGGGGGTGGGTGGCTTTGGCAGAAAGGGGGAAGAGAGGGCACGACGTTGAGAGTAGACGTTGAGGTTCGCGTTGAGGCAGGTCGGTGCAGAGCGCCACGAGTCGCGCTCCAGGCGCAGAGATCAATGCACCCGCACCCGCGGTCGTATCTGGCCGCCGCCGTCGCCGTCGCCGTCGTCGTCGTCGTCGTCGTCGTCGTCGTCGTCGTCGTCGTCGTCGTCGTCGTCGTCGTCGTCGTCGATGTGCGATGGTTTCCGTGTCCGATGGATGGATCCGTGCTAAATCAGCGACGACAACGGGTTCCTTGATCGAGTCCGTCGACATCATCAGGCGATAGATGTTCGGATATGCGAGTGTAACGACGAAGAAGCCGTTTCGCAGAGAGACGACGGGACACGCGGCGCGGAGGCACGAGGACGGCGAGGGAGGCGCAATTGTCGATATCGCGCGCCGCCGAGGGAGCGCGATGTGGAGGCTGAACGAGGAAGCTAGTCACGGTATGACGAAGGCGAGTAACGCTATGAGAGCCTACGACGACGACGACGCTACGTCGCACCCTCGAAACAATGGTGCATTCAACGCTCGCGTGCCAGCTAGCGCAGCACAGCAAAGTGGTGGGCGTCTTTGCGGACCGACGGACACGCGTCATTGGTAATCGTTAATCTTGACGACGGTTCAGCAGCGGGGAATGACGAGAAGTGCAATCTCACAGAAGGAGCATCATACACAGCGGTCGTCCTGGGACCGACGTCCGGGAACGCGATCGCGGCTGAACAGGAAGCAGGATCGCCACGCTTTATGAATCGATCGATCGAGAGAGAGAGAAAGAGAGAGAGAAAGAGAGAGAGAGAGAGAGAGAGAGAGAGAGAGAGAGAGAGAGAGAGAGAGAGAGTCGGCCAAGGGAAATCATTGAGAATTCCTCGGGTCTTGTCATTTGTTGATGCAACGTATGATACGGCATGTCGAAGAATAGACCTGCGAAAGGAAGAGGAGAAGAGACGCATATAGAAGAATCTCGGAGAATCTGCTGGTCTTCTCGTCAGATTGCTCATTGGGATAAAGCGGACTCGCACGCTCTCGTGGGGAGGATCCGCATTCTGAGAACGCAGATCTCTTCGGCCCCTCTTCTTTCGGCTACATTCGCGACATTTAAGAGAAGAAGTCAGCCGATAAGCTGCTGTGTCCACTCACAGAAGTGGTACTTCTGTTGCTGAAGAAGAAATGTTTCCATGAAGAAACACACCGCGACAATGGTGATTGCGCTTGTGATTAATCATGGGAAACACCTTATGAAAGAGAAAGAGAGTGTGCGTGTGTGTGTGTGTTGCATCTGTGTCTAGTAATATCTGTTAAAAATTGTCCCCGTGAACAGTGTCGAGCATCAGTTGATCCAATCATTCCTGCGAGACAATCATTTTCGCGACGAAGAGAGCTTCAATGAGAAGCAACGAATTTGCCAGTAATAAATGAAGATCTAGAAGGAGCAAGACGCAAAAGAGACGAAAGGGAGGGAATATGGGACAGAGAGAATATGGGAGAATCGAAAGTGCCAGAGAAAAACAAAGGAGAAGTTAATTATGCCGCCGGAGAACGAAAAAAGGATATGAAGATTGTACGTGTGCGATCGTACTAATCACTTCCTCCTCATTCGACCTCGATACTATAGCACGTAGTAGGCACTTTCTTAGCAGTATTCAGTAATTTGAGCGCTCTCAGTCACTCTTCACCCCGTATGCAAAGCGGGAAGTCGAGGTAGGAACGTGAGACAGAGAAAGAGAGAGAGAGAGAGAGAGAGAGAGAGAGAGAGAGAGAGAGAGAGAGAGAGAGAGAGGTAGGGGGAAATGATATATTGACGAAACGTAATATATATTGAGTCATACGAACGAAAACTAGCTTTCTTGAGAAAAAAGGAGGAAGGAAAGGTGTATTCAACTTTGATACTTGCATCACACACACACACACATACACACTTAAAGTTACTTAGTACTGAACACTTGATCGTATCAACAAGAAACATTTGCCATCGTTTTTCCTTTACATTCGTTGAAGAAAGAGGATGACGAGATGGGCCAAGTGTGAAATAGTACAGTACAGCGTCCTGTGAAGACTAGTTGCTCGAAGAAAGCAGAAGACAAGAAATGTGGTGTGTCCGCGAATCGTGGTAGAGTTTGAGAGAAGAACTAGTAAAAGGTGGAAGGTAATGATAGAGTTCCACGGATCACTTGTCCGAAGAGGAAGAAGGATAAGCTGAATATACTCGCATGTCGGATTGAATCGTGGCACGCAGAGCGACGAGGCAGGAAGACGAGTCAGTTGAGAGGTGCCGGTGGTAGTTAGATTCGACACGGATCGATGTGACACGGTGGCCCAACGTCACAGTGGACGATTACACAGGTCAGAGGGGCCAAACCGAGGAACACGTCAAAGTGCTGCAAGATGTTACCTCAGGGGGTGTACGATGATGGTGATATAACAGTCATTGACCGAATAGAGAGATTTCGCCTTCGGGAAATAGCGCGATGGTGAAAGTGCACACTCGCGATGCCATTTGTGCTCATTCAGCGGATATTGAGGCGGACGAGAAGGAGGTATCTATAAGCCGAGATGTCGATCGAGAAAAAGAGACGAGATTACCGAAGTGTTTACCGAAGATTAGACGATTAAAAGAAGACAGAAGAGCAGAGGGTGTCTCCTTATTCGCCAGAGACTGACGCGACGATGTATTCATCAATCGATTCGATGGACTACCGCCGTTTTTTGCAAGGACAGTTGTGGACGAGGATCCTCACGAAATCAAACTTGAGTAGGACTTGGCACAGACGGATCGAACGTGGAGAATAATAAGCTTCTCGCGATGACCATCGAATATGGAGAAAAACGTCCTTTTCTGCAAAGTTATACGCGTAAGCGAAGGCTTCATGAAATCGAGATCTGGAGGAAGGGACACGGATACGTGGTGCGAGGAGCCCGTTGTCTCGAGACACGAATATCGAAAAGAGACTTTAGTCTCTCCGCGATAAGAGATCCTGTGTGAAAGTTTCATTTTGAAGTTTGAGCAGGAAAGGCGATAACGTGTGCGATTACGTGAGAGCGAGAGAGAGAGAGAGAGAGAGAGAGAGAGAGAGAGAGAGAGAGAGAGAGAGAGAGAGAGAGAGAAAGAGAGAGAATCTCGTGCACACAAGAACGCAAATTACACATGTATGCAGAGATCACTATAATATCAGTAAAATGTTCAAGAGCAGGATTTTCCAGGGCGATCTCAGCCCCGTCCCAATTCCAGGCAGCTTGCAACAGTCCAGTACGTAGTAACGTGATGCAGAGCCACACACATTATCGTAGTTGCATGTAGTTGATCGATCGAGCACGGTTCTCGTGCAGAAGATTTTGAACTCGCCCGAATCTCGTGATCGATTCCTCTTCAAATCGCTCAGTAACATTATTGTTATTCTCTTCACACACAGCAACTAAATCATCTCGAATTTCCCTTGTCACGACCTTGAATGCTCGACCACCGACGTTGACTAATTAAACATTGATCGTTTCCCATTTGGTCAGTTAAGTCACATTCATTACTTTTTACTTCCCAAACAAAACTTACCAAAATCGTGTTAATCGCTTCAACGGTTTGTTTGTTTAGTTTAGACAGCGGGTAAATTATTTTTATTAGCACATACTTAAAAGGCGGTTGTAAAGATAGATTTTGATCAGTGAGAAAGAGAGGGGGAGAGAGAGGAGAGAGAGAGAGAGAGAGAGAGAGAGAGAGAGAGAGAGAGAGAGGAGAGAGAGAGAGAGAGAGACTGATGATGCTACAGGATAAGAAGGAAGTAAAAGAAGCAGGTATATAAAAAGTGGTAGGGGCATATCTGGTCGTAATAGTGGGGCACCAAAGAGGTCGTCGACCTCTCTCCGGTGCAGCTGTTATTGATCGATGAGGAAGAGGACAACATCGCTCTACGGCGTGTTACGCCGTAGTACTTGTCTCTATCCCAACGGACAGGATAAGAGATTTACATCGCACTATTGGTCATCGCACCTCAAATATCTTCTTTCTTTTTTCCTTCATTTTCTTGCTCCTCTTGTTCTTCTTTTTCTTTTCTTGCTTTTTTTACCTTCTTTCTAAACTGACTTCGCTTTGCTAAACCACTAATCACAGACGTGACCCGAGAAAATCTGACAGAGAGAGAGAGAGAGAGAGAGATGGGGGGGAAGAGGGATCTCGAGCGTGGAGTGGTGACCCAATAAACACTGGGTCACCTCTCTACCGACCACACTATGCCCTGTGGTGTCCCCTTTCAGTCCCTTCTCTTTGCGTTCTCACAGACTGCTTACTTTTGTGAAATCGGAGCAAGAATAATTGAGCGGGATTGAGAAAGCCAATCAGAAAATATGTAGGCCCGTGTAACGAACAGCTAAGCCAATGTATCTTTAATTTTTGAACCATTGGAAACAATTTGTAATTTTAAATTGATATATAATTAAGACATTTCTTGACCGACTCTTGTTTTTAATGTGTTAAGTTTAATGAATTTTCTGTTAAATTTTCTCTTTACGCAATATCGATGTATATGTGTCGATATATAGCTGAACATTTGCAGCAGATATGGTTGTCATTTAACGATATTAATACAAGTTAATAAAGTATTGTACGATATGAACATATTCGGTTAAATGTTATGTAAAAAATTGACGGTTAAAACATGTCACGGTTAAAACAATTGTAAATTGCAAAATAACCGAGGTGTCCATTAATCTGTTTTTGTTATATCGACTATTTTGTAGACGATGTGTAACATCTCCGAACTACTATATATGAGATATTGATATTGATGAACTTCATTTGTTTGTGTTGTAGGTCAGCAAGGCCAGCAGAGCGAGCAGGAACTGGCGACGAAAATGTTGCAAATTCAAAGCAAAAGATTCTATCTTGACGTAAAACAAAACAGGCGTGGGAGGTTTATCAAAGTCGCTGAGGTATTTTCTTGTCTTCCTAATTTTACGCTTAACAGATACCACGAGACTATGACTTTTTTCCGACATTGTCATATGGAGAAAACTTTATCTTATTTATTAATTTATTAATTACGTTACTATAATTAATAATAAGATATAAGAAAAAGATGAAGTCTGCTACAATTGAAATAATATTTTCAGATAAAGTTTTTTTTTTTTTTTTTTTACTAATGTATTCTCACTATATTGAAGTTATATAAGCGCACGATGAGACTGATTTAAAATATTTTTGATCGGCACACTGTACAAATTTATCTTGCAATACACTAATTTGTATTTTTATTTAATAATTTACAGATTGGAGCAGATGGAAGAAGAAGCCAAATTTATCTGGCACTTAGTACAGCGTCCGAATTTCGGAAACATTTATCGACATTTAGCGACTTTTACGCATCTCTAGGTACTTTATAATCCCTATTAATTAAAAACTGAGACAACTGTAGCAGATACATATACGGTCATATTTGACCGTTGATATACGCGAAACGTTGACATTCGAATATTTAGATTTTATCGGTAAAAAGGTCAATATATTTTATAACATAATGTAAAGTTTACTTTAACCCTTTGACTGCGATCTGTTCTAAGTCAAACCTAAGTTTTCGCCATACATCTCACATATTGAATTTGAATTTAAATCCTCTTCATCTGTAGAAATACTAAGTATTCTTGGCCGTTTATTTTTCCTTCTACACCTAACTATCCCATTATATATTATATATTATATTTATATATATATATATATATATATTAGAGTGTTAGACAAAGTAAACTACCAAAGCCTTCGCTGAGTGCACATTTGCGTCCATAATCTAAACCGATAGCTTTCGCCGGACGCATATATGCGTCTATAGGCGACACTGATAGTCTTTGCTGGACGCATATATGTGTCCATAGCAGTCAAAGGGTTAATCTATTCTAACAATCGACAATCATTGAAGTTGTTTCCATCTTAATGAAGAGAGAGAGGGGGGGATATTCTATTTATTTTCATCAATTAATATTAATCATTTATATCATACTGAATGTGATCAGGTCCACCAAATCCGGAAAACGTACCAGACGACGGAAAGCTCAAGTCAGAGATGATGGTGAAGGATAATAGGCGGTATTACTTGGACCTCAAGGAGAATTCTCGCGGCCGTTTCCTGCGGGTGAGTCACCCTGTATGTACCAGCCAATGTACTTACTTTCTACGCTAAGTCATAAGAAGAATCTCTCAGTCCTCATCTCGAAAGGCGGTGGCCTTTACGAAGGGTGATAGAGATGAGTGTAAAAGGTTTTTCTAGAGCCGACGATGACAAAAAGATTATGTGAAAAAATAAAATACGATATAACGACTTTCGCGACGTTGTAGATGCAACCGGTACAACGAATTATTATATACTTTTAATAACGTTCGTTGAATTGTTCAGGTGTCGCAGACGATAACACGGGGAGGTCCCAGGACACAGATTGCGATACCAGCGCAAGGTATGATAGAATTTCGCGACGCGTTAACGGATCTTCTCGAAGAATTCGGGACGGATGACGGTGGCTTTAAAGGTGACTTGCCAGAAGGCCGTTATATGCGCGTGGATAGCAAGAATTTCTATTTTGATATCGGTCAAAACAATCGTGGCATCTACATGAGAATTTCTGAGGTACGTGCACGTCGTTGGTTACTCTTTGCCATTTCTATAATATTTCTTCTCATTATTGCTTATTCACATTGACGCTAATTGTTTATCTGAATCTAAAAGAAAAAAAACTACACACACATACACATATATATATATATATATATGGTTTTTGATATATCAGCTAATCAAAAGATTTTTCGTTTGTATGACATAGCGGACATAGATGAAACGGCAGATGGTGTTAGTAGAGGTTCATTTTTACAGGTGAAAACAAACTTCAGGACAGCCATCACTGTGCCGGAAAAGTCCTGGGCCCGTTTCCGTGATATCTTCGCAGATTATTGTGAAAAAATGAAGGAAGGCGGTGCTGGGGGCATTAGCAGCTCCACCGCCGGCGGTGGGAACGTATTGTCCGAGGGGAAGGGTTCGATGGTGGCACAGGTACCATCGCCATCCACGAGCACGCAGCCTAACCCCAATCCAAATTTAGACTCTCCTCTAATCAAGTGAAAAAGGCTTTAACTTAACTCGAACATTGGGAAATTATAACTCGTAACTCGTTTTCAAGTCATTAAGCGAAGTAAAGAAACTTATCAGAGTCTATGCCATCGTCATCGTCATCATTATTTGGCTACGGCATCGACATGGTCATCATCAGCATGATCATCGTCATTGTCATCGACACCATCATTGTCACCGTCGCCGTCGTCGTCATCATCGTCGTCGTCATCGTTATAATCATTATCATCGTCATCGACGACACACCATCATCGTCATACTCGCCGTCGAACGCGAACACCAAAACTCGTTTGAAACACGGCCATTATATCGCAAAGAGTAACAGCCGATTGTTGAGTATATTCATATAGCCACAGATTTGATAATGAGATAAAAAGAGAACGAAATGATGGAAAAAAACCAAAAACGCAAAACAGATGCGCGACGGTATACGTGGTTAAAAAAAATGATTGTCGGCGCGTCTCGCGAATATAAAAATAACGGAAGGTGGAAGGGATAAATCGAGGTATAGATGGTGTGTGTGTGTGTGTATGTGTGTGTGTGTGTGCGCGTGCGTGCGCGAAGGGAAAACGAGTCACTGCCGCTCGTGCGACTAACACAGAATAGATAAAAAGAGAAAAAAGATAACACGCAACGACGAGATAGAGAGTAATAATTATCGCGCGCGCGATGTCTTTTTAGGCGAACACAAGTTGCCATCGATTAACGTTATGAGTACTACCGTTCATTTCCTAATTCTTCTACATATACATCTTGTTTCGAATTTTTGATTTTGTCATTTAAATTATCTACTTTCTCAGATTTACACATTCGGAGTACATGCAACTTTATCACTTACTTTTACATACGCATTGAACGAATGAGAGAACCTTCGAACGGGAAATGGACTGTAGTGTGGATCACGTTACAATTGAATTTGATCGTTCAGAATTTATGAATATAAATAGTTGTTATATTAACGATTATATCATGACGAAGTAGGAAAGAAAGGGCGTGTGGGTTTTGTCGCGAGAAAGAAGAAACCAAGTAAAAAATAGGAAAGATCTATCTCGTGTCTATACGTAGACAAGTACGTATTACACATTTTACGTACGACGTAAAAAAGTGAAAAAAAAAACTGAACAACGTCTCTATTAAGTAATTACAAGATAATATATAACACATAGATAAAAGAGAGGAAAAAAAAGAGATGCTAACCGAGAGAGAAAGAGAGAGAGAGTGTACGAAATTATATATATATATATATACATATATATATATATATATACATATACATATTGATATATGTATATTATACAAAGTTAATTATGTTACTTTTGTTTCATCGATTCGTACGAAAGGTGCGCATGCAATCATATATAAGAGGGCGCGTATATCGAGTATGCGCTTTTACAAAAGGCATAACACACACTCATTCACACAAAACAGCAGACAAAAGTACACGCACACATCAATATACGCTACAACGGAAAATTGAACAATTTCGATGACACTTTCTACATGGACAAACCCATAGGACACACACTATACGCATGAAGATATTCCACCATGAAAGACATATTCCATCACAAAGGGCGAACGGTACAAGGGGACGGTGTGCATGTGTAATGTAATAGATTATGTATGTAAGTTCGAGCGATGGCCGAGTTCTAACACAATTGCATATTAGGTATGTATTATACGAATACATAATAGGTATTTATATAGAATCTATATAACACACTGTATAATTGTAACGAAATGCCAATGTCCGCGGACCCAGGCGACTGCGCCAAAGTTCCAGCAATCCGGCGTGATCCTTAATCGAATTGAGACACGTCGTTGTTGCTGGTCCCTGCAGTTGCTTAGGCCCCGCCCGCCGGACACAGGAAGAAAGATGAGACAAAACGTATGGCAGAGTGTGTGAAGACAAGATAACGTTTTTCGAGATGGTCGACTGGAGGATATATAGGGATGGAAAAAAATACGATCGAGTTTAATCTCGGTCACAGGGAAAGAGAATCTTAATACGTTTCGACTCTGCAACGCTGTGCTAATATCATCAATGACAAAATGTCCATTCTTTCCTTTCCGCGTTTCTTCCAATCGAAACGACAAACCGCTGTAAATGCCACTCGTATTTCGCACTGGGTGCGATCATCTAAATAGTAGGCGACTTGTTTTAACAGAGAAACACGTCAAAGACGCATCAGAAATTCGACTTGTAATCAAGCATGCATATATAGTTTACTCGTTCGCACTTTTGGAACGAATAATGCAAATTTTCCTTATGTTCTGTAAAATAGAAATTTATTATATTACTTATTTTTTTTTCTTTATTAACTAATATTATATTTCTTCTTTTCCTCTTAAAAGATTATTTTTCTCTTAAAATGAAGCGACAATTTCGGCTGGTCTGAATTCACTTAGCACGTAGGGGTCTCAATGATCTCACAACATGAAAATAAATCACGATTATCAATTTAAGTATATACGAGTGAGTAGAACATTGAAATTAGAATCCCCCGATTCCCTTCGATTTGAGTATACTTGGTCCTCTATCGGCCTTCAATGCGTGTACATATATATATATATATACATATATGTGTGTGTGTGCGCGTGTATATGTATGTATATATATATATATATCTCGCATGCGTAATCAAATAACACCCCGACAGATTCTTGACAAAGGCATTTACAACACTTTTGCACTTGACGCATTCACTTGTTCATCGTCGAACTTTTTATTAAATTCAAAGGGGATCAGTAAAATCTGCGATTTATGCACAAACGTTATATATTACTAAAAAATCAAGCGTTGCACGGGAAATGGCATAGAGGAGATACATAGAAAAATCGTTCACTGGCTAGGCAGATGGTATGACATTGTGATCTATACAAATTACAAATCACAAAGCATCCATAAGTAGTAGATATTTAAGATATAAATACATACACACACACACACGTACATCTATGATGACTAGTGAGAAGGAGAGGAGAGAGAGAGAGAGAGAGAGAGAGAGAGAGAGAGAGAGGAGAGAGAGAGAGAGAGAAAGAGAGAGAGAAGGGAAAGAGAGAAAGATTACTGTGTTACTAATGCGTTCACGTGACAACGCGTGCAACAAAAAAACACATACAAACACACGTTATTAAAAGGCGAAGATGACTACAAACGTACCTAAAACTAACTAAAAACAAAACGCAGAAAGGAGAGAGAGAGAGAGAGAGAGAGAGAGAGAGAGAGAGAGAGAGAGAGAGATGTAAAGAAACAAAAAAAATTTGAAGAGATACCGTCTGACACATAAGAGTAAGCAAAGTAATATAATGTGAATGAAAGGAAATAAAAACACACACGATACTCCTGCCACGCAGTGAGTCTTTAGACACAGCTTTAAGATAATAATTATAAATAATAAAATAATAATTATTAAATAATAACGATAAAAACTTTCTATATGTTGAATCGTGTCTAGTGAGAAAAAGTACTATCGAAGTAAAGCAACACAAAAAAACAATACTATCGCCACACACGACACACAGATTAACGCAATTTATATGACCATCAAGATTAATTGTCTCTATATCGAATATTCTTTCCTTTATTTTTTTTTTCTATATCTACGTAGCAGAGAGGATGGCTGTTAGGGAATAGCTAATGACGATATTTTGTTTTGTTATTTTACAAAACAAACGTTGTGCGGTTGGTGATCGGCAGACCTTTTTGCTAAGTGTTAAAATAATGTCTACGTAAAGAAAGAGAAAAAACAAAGGGGTGCCGGAATCCCATACCTGTGTTTTTATATTATACGGTGGAGTTATTACACCGCATACTGTTATTCATTGTCACGCGCTACTACTGTCACGTAGAATTTTCACACGTGAACGTTGTCGCGCGCGTGCGACAGCTGCGTGTAGCGACGTCCTCCGATGTGTCGCACCGTCGAAAGGAGGAGTGCATTCGCGACTATGTAAGCGATGTATGCTCTTTTCGTTACGGCTGTGATCTTTTTCGCTGCACGACGTTGTGACTCGCAGAGAAAAAGAAGAAAGAAATAGCTTCGCGCCACTGTATGAAAATTCTGCTGTCGCTGCGATTATTCTTATCATTATTATTAATATTATTATTACGATTATATTGTCATTATTCTTACTATATTACGATTATTCTTACTACCGCTATCATTAACTATTAGTATCACTTATCATCGGAGCGCTACTATAGTTGTGTATTGACCACTAATAACGAGACCGGCCTTGAGCGGGCTGATTTTCTTTTTTCTTCATTTTTCCTCATTAGCGTATATTGTGACAACGATCGGTCGCAAGTTTGCGAATTTAATGATTTTTGGTTTGTTTTTGCATCTTATTTCTCTCATCTCATCCTCGACCACAGGCCAATTCCTCTCGCACGCGCACACACGCAACACACATATACATCCTCTCTCTCTCTCTCTCTCTCTTTTTCTCTCTCTCTCTCTCTCCTCCCCCTCTCTTCCCTTCTCGTGTTTACTTAAGTTTCACACTCTTTCCTTCTCCCACAGGTAAACTCCCGTAGAAACTCGCGTTTCGCCCTTTTCTTAGTAATCGGCCCACTCTGGCGTGGAATCGATGTTGGAATGCGATTTCAGGTAAAAGAAAGAAAACAGAGGAAAAGAGAGAAGGAAAAGGAGAAGAGAGAGAGAGAGAGAGAGAGAAAGAGAAGAGAGAGAGAGACAGAAAGAAAGAGAGAGAGAATGAATTAAAAAGAGAGAGTGATTCAACGGGAGGTCAACAGTGTTTAGACTAGAATATTTACTTCTTAGGTTTGCGGTCTAGCGGATCGTACGTCGGATCCACAAAGTAGACTTGTATTAATCATCACTTTCGGCGCGATGCGTTTTCTTTCTCCTCCTGGTGCGTTCTCGCGTGTGTGCATGCGTGCGTGAATGCTATAATTTGTGTGGGTGTATATGCTCGACAATCGAAATGAGCGAGCTATTCTCTTTTTTTTGCAAGGCGGGAGAGATGAAAATGAGAGATATAAGAGAAAAAAAAATAAATAAAACACACCGATCGCGAGGACGATGCGCTGCCGAACACATTTAATGCTACACGATAGATAATCGTCGCGAGAATCGTGCGCGCTCTGACCTTGAGTTATCACATTATATCATCAGTAGCGTAACGAAAAAAATCAGAGTTTGTTGTTGCAGAAAGTAAGTGAGATTTACTTGCGATTGGCCTTTGTATGTCGTTTGATTTATTATTAAAGATAACAGTCTGTTGCAATTATCAACGTTTTTCATCCTCCCAACGCACAGCGCACAGAGACCTTTTTTTCCGCATAAAGTGTGGCACCCGGTTGTAATTAAAAATTTATTGTAGCGATGTGTACGTGTGAGAATGAATGTGTGTATATGTGTGGGTGTGTGCATGCAAAGTATCGCTAAATTTATATCACTATAATGTCGCGCAAGATATTCCTCACATCGCGGTCGTGATGAGATTTTCATGTAAATATCTGGTGACTTACGGTTTAACGGCGATATAATTTTCGGCTCGCCGACCGAAGTGCAGTCATTTCAATGTAAATTCGCGGTGTATAATGTGCATTCGCGGTGCATCGTCCTCGATGATAAACTGGTGTCGTTTGACGACGTTTGATGAATGTTTGACAGTGCGCGATTCTTGACCGTTATTCACATCTCTCGAGAATCGATATATTACAGCATAATATTAATTGTTATATAAATACTTATCGAACCAAGTTTTCGCAAAATGTTACAAAGATCGAGGATGATTTTGTCGGACACAAATTCGTACCACAATTGTTTCTTCGGATAAACGTTTTTTCCGCTACATAGCTTGTGTGTGTAATACTTCAATATTATTAACTATTAAAGAATGCAAGAGAGCAACCCGCCGGAATCGGGACGAAAGATTGTCCACTAGCACGATAAGCCGGGGATAAGTACGAGGAATGATGTTAGCTTTGCGCATCTTAAGGACATCCTGAGAAGACCTAAGAATTCCTTGAAACCCAACATCCAAGAGACCAAAGCTCTCCTTTCGTTGATCGAAAGATCCCGCAGGATCCCGCAGATGATCGGAAGTCTGGATCGGAATATGTCTCGATCCGTCGATAGAAATTCGCCAAATCTCGGGATCTCTTAGTAGGATTTCAGACTTTTTGAATCTCTCGAATGTCACCGTAGATCAGAGAGTCTCAGAAAATTCGAAGATATCTTCCGATCAATATATTCATACAAGATTCGAGGATCTGAAAATTCGCGAGAGTTTGAGGATCTCGTTAATCAGGAGTTGATCCCGATCGAGTTTCGTCAGCGTGTCTCGAAACTCCATACGCTTCTTGAGATCGCGAATTTTAAGATTTTCCTGTTGGATTTCGAGATACAAGGATTCGAGATTCTCCTCGAGAACGTTTCCCAATTAATCTGTAGATTCGAGTACTCAGGACGAGGACTCCTCCGAAAGGTAGATCGGGAGATCCGCGGGATTCCGATCTTCTTGACGCCAAGTATCTCGTATCGCGCGCGCGGCCAAGTGTGCGGTGATGGAAAAGAAACAAAAAAGAAATGCGACGAACGCGCACGCCTTTGGACCCCCAGTCAGGACCTTTCGCCCGTGTTGAAAAGATAAACATAGTTAGTAAAAAGGCAAGCCATTTTTTTAAGCGCGCACACGCATACCTCCCATCCCTTCTTCCCTGTGCGTATACCGCGTGTGATCGTGTACATATATATATATATATATATATTGTTGTAAATGGTTGACAAAATGGCGCTTAACATACACACATACACACAACAGGAGGTAAAACCGCGAACCGGGAGAGAAAATAAAAAAAAAAAGAGAAAACAAAAAGAAACGAACAAGATAGCAACATTAACAATCGTGCAGGAGCAAATCACTGTTTATCTATTCGACATTGTGTGTTCGAAGCATGAAAAACCGAAGGGAGAAGAAAAAGGACGATAAAAACAAAAAAAAATGAAGCTATACACATTTATTATGTGAGTCGGAACATATTCGAACACAAAAGGAAAGAAAAAAAAATACTGAAGCCAAGATTCTCATCGCCTCGATGTTAAATGTAATACGTTTTACAAGGTAACAGAGCATTTCATTTTATAACATTTCTACTGTCTATACTTTCACCCGGACTCTCATCGTACGAAGAAGCGAGCGGGGAAGAAAATCCACCTGTCCCGACTGTCCTTCCGTCACTCCTTCGCTTAGAATTGGACGCCAAGGGAATTAGATGCCAAAGATGCAGATGGAGAGAAAGAAAAAAAGCTCTCTGGCATCCACCCTCTCCCCCTCCCCCCGAATCTCTCTTCTTAAATTACAACATATAAAAATAAGTTATCTCGAATCTCACGGCCCTGCGAGACGGCCGCGTTTCGAATCGCGAAAGGACGCTGTTTCGTTCGACATAAGAAACACGATACACGAGATGTATCACATCAATATTATTATACGCTATAAATCGCGGGCGACGCTTCGCACGCAATGTGTAACGGCAAATAGCGTGGGACTGCGTGAGAATTTCGTCTACTTTTGTTACGACAAACTAAATTGGTGATCTTTGACAGAACGATTAAATCAAAAGAGTTACATCAATTGGGTTGTTCATAGTTACCCGCGATCCGGACTTCCGGATCCAGACTTCTTCAAACCGTCACCTCGTCCGGATCTTTAAGTTTAAAGATAAGATTCCGCGATAATCCGCCTGAATTGGAGATAGACCACTTGTTGTCCTACCTTCAATTTTTCCGTTTCATTTTACAGTATACAATTGCTTTGTGCGATTTCCCAAAATCTCTCTCTCTTTGCGTATCCCAATTCAATTTGCCTTCAGTCCATTCGTTCGTCAGTTCTTCTATTTATTACCTAAGAATAATTAAGAATTGAAAGTTTGAAAAGCGCCGTAATTTAACAAACGAGATATTTGCACACTACTTTGCGCGCCATTTACTCAGCGCGAATTTCTCGTTGAATTCGCTCTCGACGATGTCGAGTAGTCGAATGTGGATCTGCATTGATTATATCTCGACATATATTGATTGGGCTTCGACAGGTTGTGCGGCCAAAACCCATCAATGGCAAAACGGAGAAACGCCAAAGCGGCCAACAGCAGCAATACGAGTTCCCGAAAAGACGAAGATCCTTACCGCGTCAAACGAAAGCATCCTTCGTCGATCCTGTCAAATCCATTTCTACCACCGCTAGCACCACTGCCGTTGTACCCGCATTCTTATCCTGCTCCGTTGTGACTGGCAACGGCAAAGGCACAGTGTACGAGAAAATGGAATTTTAGGTATTTGTGACAACAAGAGCTGAACCCTGTGGCGCAATGAATCGGCGAATTTTCCAATTTATACCGTTTCACGCGTTGATAAACTTATCTTACTTTTATGTTCCGGAATTGTTCGCGGTTGCGTCGATTGAAATTTTACGTAGCGCGAGTTGTGTTTGTCCTTGTTAATAAAACTATCATGCACGGTCGCACGGTTTATGTTGATGTTGTTAATTTATGGTTTACGCGATTGTGTGATTTATGTTGAAAGTTCGCGTCGATTTTTACCTAATTCTTCTTACGCCGGAAGATCGTTCCGGGTGCAAAAGCGCTCACTTTCCCGAACGCAGTCACGAAGAGATGTTGTTCTTTCTTCTTGAGGCATATGACTTCGAATATTGCGATCCATTGTTTGTTTATGTCTCTTTTTTATTCTTTTATAAACATGCATCTCGGAAACGCGCATGGCAAGGTTGTAAAAGTGTAGCGTTGAAAATATGTAAAGATGATTTTATATACGGTCGCTATATCGTCTTTTTTTCCGGAAAGACTTTATTAGCATGCGTTTTGCGGCCGAGAGAATGAAGCAAAGTCTACCTAGACGAGTAGTATAGACGTTCTGTTGTATGTCCCTTTGAAAAAATTTATAAAATTCTTATTCTCTAGAATGTTTATATGTACAATAAATACAGTAAGAAGAACAAGGGTTTCGCGGTATTTAATTATATATTACGTAACAATTGGACTCGCGCAAGTAACAATCAACGAAGAGATACATCAATCTCCACGATAGTCAGCTTTGCGCGTCGTTAGTGATGTAAGCCGGAAGGAATTCCAGCCATTCGGGGAACTGAGACATCAGAATTAATACAACGTTCTTATTCTCAACGAAAATTCGTTTGACAGTCTGCAGTATATATTCCTTGGTTTGCGCGGTGTGATGCTCTGGCTTTATCTTCAGTAAAATCACACAGGGACACAGTCTCCTGGGATAAAGATCCAATATCTCCTTGCCTTGATCCTCGCAATAGGCGTCCACTCGTTTCAATATCGAGTTTATGAAGTCTATAACCGCGGGAGCGTACTGTAGCTGAACCAGCAGCTCCTTCAAGAAACTGAACACCAATTGGAAGACGCACGCGGATGCGGCGCTAAGCGCCAACAAACGACTCAGCGTTTTTTCAGCGTCGCGCTGTTTTTTTAAACAATTTTCTTCATTTGCATCAGAGAACATGCACGTAAAACTGTCGAGTAGAGGTCTTTCTATCAAGCTTGATCTTTGAGAAAGATATATCTCCTCCTTTGTAGACAACTTGAGGTCCAGATCTGTGCTCAGAACATCGTGTAGTAACCTCTCGATTTTATCATCTGTCTTTAATCGCAAAAGTCTCACAAGTAATCTGTCCAAATGGTGCATAAGCGACGGATTTTCCATTGACAGATACATCACAGCAGTGGTCAAAGATATTAGAGCATCGTTCGAGCAGCAGTTAGTTAGAATATCATTCGTGAGACACTTGTCCAAGAGATTAGTAACAAACTTCAAGTTATTTTCTTCAGATGTAAAGATCCGTAAATGATTAAAATTGCTCGTAGTTTTGCACCATCGCCGTACAATGTCCTGCAATATTGGTCATATTGAAATACAGATCAATTGAGAAAAGACATATATTAATTTATATATTAATACAATAAATTAACATACAATTATCAACAGCCGAACTGAGTAGCGTTGATAAGCCTGTTTGGACACTTTATAGCATAAAAGGTTGCTCAATGATGTGTATAGAGCATCAGATATTGCATTAGATTGAAGTACAACTTCCTTTGATATGTTTTTATAATCCTCAGACTCGGTAACATTTTCTGAATCGTTGAAGCTCCTCAATATTGCTCTTAATAGGTCTGCATCCATGTCACAGCACACAATGTAAATATATAAACATTAAGTTAAGTATACTACATTATATGTGTGTGCGTGTTTGTATCCATGTTGACCTGTCAATTAAATTTGGAAAATAATCTATAAGACACTTGTAAAACACAATTTATAACATATAAATTATTTTACATTATTTTACAAAAATAAGCAGAGGAAATAAACGTATGAATAGTATAGAGATATTTACCTTACTTATATTGATTTAAATGATTTTTTAAAGATGTTCGAAACTTGTTGCACATTGTTGATTATTTTACATGCATTTTATTTGTCTAATTAAATAAAAAATTAGATACATTATGATAACTTGAGACGATAAAAAACAAGAAATATTAGGTCTGTTTTTTATCGCTGAACTAGTGTATACTTAGAGGCAGATATAATGTCCCTCGGCGATGTCGTATACGCCTGTAAAACAATCGAAAGCGATAACAGGCATATACGCATACTCATATGGGCGTACTGTATAGCGCGAGAGAAGCGAAGAAGGAGAAGTGGTGGGAGACGTTCCAATGTTGCATCCTTATCGCACGTCGCACGATCGAAAGAGAAAGCATTACCAGACGTGGTACAGATAATGGTATCCCCAATAGCTGTCTCACTCACTCTACGCTTGAATGCAGGGAATATGATTGAGACAGCTATAGAGACACCGCGCTGTCCCTATAGGTGTCTCGCTCGCTCTAATAGCCATGTATCGCGCTTTCCTTTTTTCTCCTTAGCAGAAATATCGATTAAGAACGGAATCCTGTCTGTAGGCCAGAAAAATAAGCTATTTTCACGAATTTTTTTTTTCGGAAACTAAGCAGACGATTGATTTCAAACTTGATAGAAATAATAATATATATTTTATTGATAAGAATAAATTTTTATAGCGTTATATGAATTTTTATAGCGTTATATGATGTTAGCGTCTCTAAAAATAAATTGCACATGCGCAACCTTGTTATTTAACCAATAGTAAACAGACGCTGCATTCAGCAGACTCAACAGTTGGACAACATTACTAGATTTTTCACTGAATCTCGCTCCTGATTGGTAAATACTTCTGGGTCTATGAAGAATCTAAAAGAGTGCTCCAATTACAGACAATGATCACTAAGCGTTTTCTGATCACTTTGTTCTATTGAACGCGGCCAATGGCGATTGTATTTACCAATCAGGATTCAGTGGAAAATCTAGTAATGTTGTCCAACTGTTGAGTCTGCTGAATGCAGCCATTGGCCGCGTTCAGTAGAACAAAGTGATCAGAGAGCGCTTAGAGCAGCTTAGATAACAAAAAATTAGTAATGGTCCTTATCTGTTGAGCCATTTTCACTTTGTTTTTATTGTCCTTACTGTTAGACCCTTACATTCAGACCAATAACGTTGACGAATTACTCAACCGTTGTGTAACCGTTGTGTTTGCTGAACGCAGCCAATGGCTGCATTCAGTAGACTCACAGTTGGACAACATTACTAGATTTTCCACTGAATCTCGCTCCTGATTGGTTAATACTTCTGGGTCTATGAAGAATCTAAAAGAATGCTCCAATCACAGATAATAATCACTAAGCGCTCTCTGATCACTTTATTCTACTGAACGCGGCCATTGATTCCACTCGTTCCTCTTGTCTCACTTAATTCCGACTACAACATGGGAAAAGCCGATTCCACTTCAAACTCCATAATAGCATAAACGGATAAGTGGAACCGTGATCGGAAACTGGTCAGTCGGTATCTCGCGTTTCCGAACGGAATCGTGAAAAGTTCCATAATAGGTACCCTGTAGACCTTTAATAAATATGTAGAAAAATAAAGGAGAAAGAAACAAAAAAAATAATGGGAACGTGGTGTTGTATTCGCTAACAAAGACAAACATTTATTAAAGAAAGTGAAAGAAGATTTCTTTCCTTTGAAGAACTGAGTCTATATAAAAGTTGATTATATCAACATGGATGTACAAACAGTAAATACACGACGTAAAATATTGAGTCATGTGGTTTGCAGTATTTTAGTAGAATGCGGTTTTGATGCGTGTGAAAAAGAAGTAGTGGAGACTTTTACAGAAATGTTACAGTCATGTAAGATTCATATTTAAATTCTTAATTACTTGATTTAACACAACAATAAAACTTAAAATGTTGCAAATTTTGTTTGCAGTTATTGTAGAGACTGGAGCATCTGCAAGAAATTACTGCGAACTGTCAGGACGAACTGAGCCTCTTATAGCGGATGTGATATTGGCGTTAATTAATATGGGTGTAAAATTAGATAACTTGGAGACTTATGCAAAGAGACAGAATAGGACAGTTTTACCAGCACTTCAACAACAAACACAATCAAAACAATTAAATATCTTGCAAGCTGGTATTAAGCAAAGCCATCCATCACATATACCAAATTATTTGCCAGCTTTCCCTGATCCACATGCATACATTAGGACACCAGTAAGTAACAGTAAGACATGATTATTTATCGATTCATGAATATTATTTATACAATCAAAAAGGATACTGAATAATACAATATATATCAATCTGGTGGATATTGTAGACACACAAGCAACCTGTAACAGAATATGAAGCAATAAGGGAAAAGGCAGCAACACAGAAACGGGATATTGAAAGAGCTCTAACAAGGTTTATAGCTAAGACAGGAGACACGCATAGTTTATTCCTCACAGAAGACAATAGCATGTTTCCCTGTAAATAACTTTATATTTATATCAACCTGATTATATTCTAAACATATACAACATATATCTTCTTTGCTTTCAGTAATATCTTGTAAGTCACAATTCCCCAATTATATTTCGGCCCTTTTACCGCAAGACCAAATATTTGAACCAGATACAGACTTTCAGTTTGAGTCAAGTCCAGTGAAGAAGAAGAAGGAGCAACAAACTGAAGAAACTGAAGAAGGTGAGTCTTTTATATATACACTTACAGAGACAAATTTAAGATAAAACGTACACTGACTATTTGATTTAATACAATGTAAATCGTTATATAAATTCTTACGAACAATTTATGAACTTTTATTTACAGGTAATCAAGGACAGAATGAGAATGAACAGAATGGTGAGACTGCTACTCAGCAAGATGTTATAGATAATCCGTATTTGAGGCCAGGAAAGATTCCCAAGAATAAAATACCAGGAACAACAATACCTGGACAAAATTCTGTTAAAAGAGAGCCTCTTGATTCTTAAGTACTGTGATACAATAATATTAAATAATATAATATGATATATTATATATAGATACTTTGTAATCTATTAAACAAATTACAATGACTAAGAATAATAACTCAATCAGGTATGCAATAAAAGTTATTTTTATTATAAACATAGTTACATACATACACAAAAGTGTCGTCAGATACATTATTGTTACCTGTTATTGAAAATTAATGTGTATCATAAAAAAATTTCATATCTTAAATGTTTCAAATTGATCTATGCTGTGCAGAGAGAGTATATCGTGTTAGGAATTAGTTATCACTGTACGGTTAGCATTTCCACTGCACAGCAACATTGCTTAGGTCAATATTGCACATACTTAGCACCATTTCAGAAATAATACAGGAATATAAAGTCAATGTCGAAATTGATGCTATTATAATCCCATACAAACTATAAAAATATATATTTCCAATATATTTATACAATGCATAGCGATAAATATCCAAGTTTGTCATCTGAAACATCTAGCAATTTTGAAAGTGTAAACATTCGGATGAGTCTATTTTTTTCTCACCAAATGGATACCATATATAGTTCTATAATAGGAGAATGAAACCCTTGTATCTTGTATACTGATATCACTTCTTTCAGGGTAGGGTAATAATTAATTAATTAGTTATGAGCC